GCTGACTCATTGGAAAAGAACTTGGTGCTGGGAAAGACTGAAGGCAGAATGGTGGATGACAGAGGATGAGACGGTTGGATGGCATCACTGGCTCAACAGACATGAATTTGAGTAAACTGCAGGAGATAGTGAAGGACATGGAAGCCTGGCGTGCTACAGCCCATGGGTCGCAAATGAGTCAGACACGACTTAGTGACTGAACAATTAAACTGCAAATAATATCTAGTAGAAGGCATTGTCTTACATCAGAATTTTATTCCAAAGACCAGATTCTGTCTGGTCTCCCAGGTTGTTTTTCAAAACTTTTAATTACAGGCTTCATCAGCTGTCTTGACCTATCCAGCTCCTTCGAATTTTACTGGGCATACACACATACTGGGACATGAGGCTTGTTCTCCTTTAAGACACTCCTTACCACACCTTGAGAGCTGGCAGCCACCAGCTGTGCTGTGACGCCCCCCCCGTGGCCAGGTTTGGCAGGAACCCCACTGGGCGGGGTGCCCTCAGAAGTGCCCTTCCACACCTCACCGGGCAGCAGCAGCCCTCCTGGGGTTTTCCTGTTGAACTCTTCTCGGCCCCGGGCTTGAGAACGGAGTGCTCTAGAACAATCCAAACATAGAGTGTTGACTTTGTAGGATCGGGTAACACTGCTTACCTCCTCCGGGGCTTAGGAAACAACCCCCATGACACAGTCCACGCCCAGCTGCTGGAAAGCACCCAGTGATGACCGTGTCACCCCATACATACAGGCTCTGTTCTCATCGCACCTCCCTGCAGCTGCGTGTATTCCAAACCCTGCTTTCTTAGAACAGGGGTTCCAGTCTATGGCCATACCACCCTGAACGCGCCCGATCTCGTCTGATCTCGGAAGCTAAGCAGGGTCGGGCCTGGTTAGTACTTGGATGGGAAAACAGGGGTTCCAGCTCACTGCTTGCACCCAGAGCAGTGGCACTTTGGTCGTTGGGCTGGACATCTGGTTTACCTTCTAGGAGGAACTGAGTCAGAACAGTCATCTTCAAAGTGGGGTGGAGAAGAGCCTCCATGAGGAAGGAAAAAAAAAAAGGTTTTTCCTCATACTTAAAAACAAACACGGGGACTTCCCTGGCTGCCCAGGGATTGAGGTCCTGTTCTTCCATTGCAGGGGCCACAGGTTTGATCCTTAGTCGGGGAGCTAAGATCCTACATATCGCATGCTGTGGCCAAAAAAAAAAAAAATCTCCATTTTCTCTTTTATAAAATATACAATCTATGTGGATACTCAGGTCAATTAATGCAACACATACGCTTGTAGATACTGAGAGTGAACACAAGCTTCGCTTTCGCTGATGGGGACTTCCCAGGTGGCAGAGTGGTAAAGAATCCACTTGCCGGTGCAGGAGATGTAAGAGATGTGGGTTTGATCCCTGGGTCAGGAAGATCCCTGGAGAAGGAAATGGCAACCCACTCCAGTATTCTTGCCTGGAAAATTCCATGAACAGAGGAGCCTGGAGGGCTGCAGTGAGTCAGATATGACTGAGCACACACAAATGCATGATCAAAACCACATAGACCACTGAAGCAACATGGATGGGTCCAGAGATCGTCATGCTTAATGAAGTCAGATAAAGAATCATATGATATCGCTTTTATGTGGTATAAAAAATGATACCAAAAAAATGATACAAAGGAACCTATAAAACAGAAACAGACTCATAGACTTAGAGAACAAACTTATTGTTACAGGTGGGGGCAAGGGTGCGGGTTGGGGGAGGTATATTTAGGGAGTTTGGGGTTGACATGTACACCCTGGTATATTTAAAATGGATAATTAACAAGGATCTACTGTGTAGCATGTGGAACTCTGCTCAACATTATGTAACAACCTAAATGGGAAAAGAATAGATACATGTGTAACTGAATCACTTTGCTGTACATCTGAAATTAACACAGTGTTGTTAACCGTATGCTCCAATATAAAATAAAAACTCAAGAGAATAAGACACAGAAGATCCAAAAAAAAGTGGAAAAAAAAAATACATCACCGAGGGAACACAGACATGATTCATTCCTACAACTCTGAGGGGGTAATTACCATTGATAATTCCACTTTGTAGTTGAGAAAACTGAGGCACAGAGTATATGCCTGGTCTAGCATGTGGGTAAAACTGAGTCCTCAAACCCATGTCCATCCAACCATCTCATCCTCTGTCGTCCCCTTCTCCTCTTGCCCTCAATCTTTCCCAGTATCAGGGTCTTTTCCAGTGAGTTGCTCTTCACATCAGGCGGCCAAAGAATTGGAGTTTCAGCTTCAGCATCACATTTACAAGACTTTTTTAGTGTTCTATGCTAACCAGAGATGTGTTATTAAATCCCTTTAAGATTTCTACTTAATAAAAAAGGATTAAATTACATATGGTATTGAGTTGTTTTAGACACTGGAGAGAAAAAAAAAAAAGGAAAAAACAAACTTTGTAAATCTAAGTACAGATACAAGAACTATCTTTCATAGCATAATAGCTACTGATGACATACACAAGCTATTAGATTTGTTGTCAATTTTTGGGGGTGCCATACTAGGTGGCATGTTTGTTCCTCCACCAGGAATCGAAACTGGAACTCCTGCATTGGGAACACCGAGTCTTAACTGCTGGACCAACAGGGAAGTCCCTGCATGTAATTTGTATGAATACCCATATGTGATGGTGCTTTTCGACCCTCACCTTCAGCCATTATGTAGGGAACCAAGTGGTTCTGTGTTCACCACATCCTATCTTGGGGCCAGTGACACAAACTGCTTCTGCCCTGCTCACAAACTCATATATGGTAGGATGTTACAAGAAACGAAACCAGTAATGTTTGTCAAGCCCCCAAACACCCTTGTCTGTAGAAAGGATGTCTCTGAGAGCCCGCATCAGAGCAGTCTGCATCGTCTGACCTGGAAAGTGATGTCATGGAAGGCCCTGGTGGCTGAAAAGGGAACAAGAGACAGGCAGGGCTGGCGGGCAAGCCCGGAGCACAGGCAGAAAGCGAGGGCACTAGCCGAGCAGGACGGGTGCCAAGTGGACTCTAAACAGGGAGCTGGCATAAGACAAAGAGGCTGGAAAAGAGTGGGCTGGCATGCTGCCAGCCCCGAGGCGCCTGTGCCTAGGAACCTAGGAATTATTTCCACGAACAGCGATGTCTGCAGCGGTCCAGAGTTCCCAGAGAGGACAGAGGAATAAGGAAGAGTCCAGAGTGAATTTCCCCGACAGCAGTTTCAGGCATTAAAGCCTCCACGACCATGATGACTGATTTATGTGAAGTGGAAAGTGCTGGCCAGGCACATTGCAGTGCATAACTGAGGTGACAGCTGTCAGAGGGTTGAAAACGGTGTATTTCTAACCCAGCAGAAGGTGTGAACACGTGATTTTAATGCGGCAAGAGTTTAAATACACTGAGATTGTCTTCACGCTCACACCTCTGCTGAATAGTCAAAGGTAATGGGCTATTAGTATTTTCAGAAAATAATATATTATCTTTTTAAAATGTGGTACCAAAATAAACGCTTAAAGGGACACATGTATGAAAGGTTAAAAATAATATTCAATGAGTTAGAAATGTTTAGAGAGATGTATTGACACAGACCCATATATCTGCAACAAAAAAACCCAACTTTTAATCTCTTCATGGTTCACTTTATATTACAAATTTTGTGCCACCGTTAGATGATATATTAATTTCACTTCTTTACATACATTGAGTCAGAGATGTGTTATTAAATCCCTTTAAGATTTCTACTTAATAAAAAAGGATTAAATTACATATGGTATTGAGTTGTTTTAGACACTGGAGAGAAAAAAAAAAAAGGAAAAAACAAACTTTGTAAATCTAAGTACAGATACAAGAACTATCTTTCATAGCATAATAGCTACTGATGACATACACAAGCTATTAGATTTGTTGTCAATTTTTGGGGGTGCCATACTAGGTGGCATGTTTGTTCCTCCACCAGGAATCGAAACTGGAACTCCTGCATTGGGAACACCGAGTCTTAACTGCTGGACCAACAGGGAAGTCCCTGCATGTAATTTGTATGAATACCCATATGTGATGGTGCTTTTCGACCCTCACTTTCAGCCATTATGTAGGGAACCAAGTGGTTCTGTGTTCCCCACATCCTATCTTGGGGCCAGTGACACAAACTGCTTCTGCCCTGCTCACAAACTCATATATGGTAGGATGTTACAAGAAACGAAACCAGTAATGTTTGTCAAGCCCCCAAACACCCTTGTCTGTAGAAAGGATGTCTCTGAGAGCCCGCATCAGAGCAGTCTGCATCGTCTGACCTGGAAAGTGATGTCATGGAAGGCCCTGGTGGCTGAAAAGGGAACAAGAGACAGGCAGGGCTGGCGGGCAAGCCCGGAGCACAGGCAGAAAGCGAGGGCACTAGCCGAGCAGGACGGGTGCCAAGTGGACTCTAAACAGGGAGCTGGCATAAGACAAAGAGGCTGGAAAAGAGTGGGCTGGCATGCTGCCAGCCCTGAGGCGCCTGTGCCTAGGAACCTAGGAATTATTTCCACGAACAGCGATGTCTGCAGCGGTCCAGAGTTCCCAGAGAGGACAGAGGAATAAGGAAGAGTCCAGAGTGAATTTCCCCGACAGCAGTTTCAGGCATTAAAGCCTCCACGACCATGATGACTGATTTATGTGAAGTGGAAAGTGCTGGCCAGGCACATTGCAGTGCATAACTGAGGTGACAGCTGTCAGAGGGTTGAAAACGGTGTATTTCTAACCCAGCAGAAGGTGTGAACACGTGATTTTAATGCGGCAAGAGTTTAAATACACTGAGATTGTCTTCACGCTCACACCTCTGCTGAATAGTCAAAGGTAATGGGCTATTAGTATTTTCAGAAAATAATATATTATCTTTTTAAAATGTGGTACCAAAATAAACGCTTAAAGGGACACATGTATGAAAGGTTAAAAATAATATTCAATGAGTTAGAAATGTTTAGAGAGATGTATTGACACAGACCCATATATCTGCAACAAAAAAACCCAACTTTTAATCTCTTCATGGTTCACTTTATATTACAAATTTTGTGCCACCGTTAGATGATATATTAATTTCACTTCTTTACATACATTGAGAAGGAAGAAACATAAAATCAGACCTAAATATATTACAAGGCATTTCAGGGAGGTGTGTTTTGCTGGCCACCAAAAAAAAAAGATCTAAAATTTACTTTCGAAATTGAGATAGACTTGTTTAGAACCACTGTCCTGGCTCCTTTTCCGTTTTCAGTATATCCTGGCTTTTCTCAAGGTCTCAGTAAATGGCTTACACAAATTCTTCGGTCCAAGGTTAACATTCCAGATGTTCCAAAAAGTCATGTTCAACACATTCTTCCAGTTGTTTCAAGACCCTTGGGTTATCTGCGACAGGAAACTCTGCGAGCAGAGGAGGGCCTTGGGTGTCGGTGGGCAGTCGACTCTGGGTTTTAAAAGCACAGTTTAGAGTCCCGAAGAAGGGCATCAGTTGCCTAATGCTGGAAAGAGAATGCTGGCGCAGCAGAGGGAACTCACTCTTCATGGCGATCTCATCTGAGCTGCCGATTTCCTGCAAAAAACCAGTGACGACATGCTAGGGGTTAGAGATGCGCACGCAGGCGGTGAAAGCTAAGACAAGAGTCCTCTAGGAAAACTCCCTGTCTGCGCTGACGGCAGCAGCGTCAACTCGAATCCCACGTCCCCACTGCTGTCTTCCACCAGATTTCGCTGTGAGCCATCCCGCTGGGGCCCTGCCACCCCTCCTGGAGGCCCTTCCTCTGAGTCACGGAGGGACTCTGTGGGCACGTCTCCTTCTACAGCAGGGGTTCCAGGCCTGTGGTCTATTCAGGATCCGGGCTGCAAAGCAGGAGGTGAGCGGTGGAACAAGATGAGATTACAGAGTAGACTGGACATTAGCAACACACTTCGGGTGTCCCTGTCTCCCGTGACTCCCAGCTGGGGCCATCGGGTTGCAGGAAAACAAAACAAGCTCAGGGCTCCCACTGATGCTGCATTCTGGTGAGTTGGCTTATTATTTCATTGTCACAATGTAACGATAAAAGAAAGAAAGTGCACAATAAAGGTAATGAAATCACCCTGAAACCACACCCCCAAACCATCCCAGCTCCCTGGTTCATGGAAAGACTGCCTTCCATAAAACCGCCTCCTAATGCCAAAGAGGTTGGGGACTGCTGTTCTGTAGGACTGTGTCCACCCAGGAGGCTTTACCTCTTAGCATCCGGGATGAGAAAGTGACATACAAACGCTAAGACAAAGATGAAATGCATAACCCTCTCCAAGTCTGAACACTTAAGAGGCATTGTGAACACCGTTTGAGGTCATTGAAATCAAATGGCATATGAAGTACTTCACTCACCCCCTGAGCCTGTCCCCCTCCACCACAAATACAAATTTTGTAAAAAGGAAAACAATTACCCCATATTTTAATTTTAGGAGTTCAAGAATCCTGACAGTGTGGGGCTTGCATTCTTGGTGATCCTCCTCTAAATCTGAGGAGAAGGCAGGGCTTTCTGTGTCCACTTCGGGAACAAATGCCCACCTGTAACTGGAGGAAGAGAATCCGAGGTCAGGCACATGGGCTCAGAGCCCACCCAGAGGTTTTCAAACAGCTTCCCTGAGATGTAATTCACTAGCACTTCATCTCTTTGTGTTGTAGACTACTGCATTGTCTGGACACACCATATGTTATTTATCCACTTGTCAGCTGATGGACATTGAGGTTTTCTCTACTTTTTGCCTATTATGATTAATGCTGCTATGCATATTCACGTACATTGGAACTCACTTAAAGAAAAAAAAAAACAAACTTTCTTTTTTAGAGCAGTTTAAGGTTCATCCAAAATTGAGCAGCAAGTATGGAGGTTTCCCATTTGCCCCCTGTCCCCGCTCTGGTATGCAGAGCCTCCCTGTCAACATTCCCACCAGAAGGGTACATTTGTTTCAGTCGATGAACTGACACGGACTCACCATTGTCACCCTAAGTCCAGAGTTAAGCTTAGGGTTCACTCTTGGAGCTGCATCTTCCATAGGCTTGGACAAGTGTGTGAAGATATGTGTCCACAGTATAGAGTCACACAGAGTCATTTCACTGCCCTGAAAATCCTGTGGCCTTCCTCCCTCTCCACTCCTGGGACACACTCATCTGTTTACTGCCTTTACAGTTTTGTCCTTTATAGATCACCATGTAGTTGAAAACACATGGTATGTAGCTTAGACTGGCTTCTTTCATTCTGTCTTTCTAACCACAGACATTTCTACACGATTTCTCTCTTTAGGGGGGCAGGATGGAGAGAAGTGGCATCTGGGGCCAGGCATGAAATGAAACATACAAGCAGCTGTGTTAAGCCCACAGGATATGTGAGCCAACAAGGGCAGAGTGAACTGTGGAGAGTGTGTTCCATTTAGTTAATTAAAAACAAAAAGACCAAAAAAAAAAAAAATACACAAATGCAGAGAGGCTCACCAGTGGGGGACTCTGTCTTATAAGCACCCAATAGCAAAACCCACTGAAACACACACAGGAACAGAAACCCATCCGTAAACACTACTGTGAGCCAGATTCACCAAACCACAGATGTTGCGAGTAATCTGAAACTCGGTATTCTGAGGAGGCTCCTCGGCCACTGGTAACCCACATGGTGTATAGGAAAGAACAAGTGAAAGGGCTGCCTAGGAAAGGAAAGTCACCTCCTTCGAAGAGGACACGTGGTCTCCTATGACTTACATTTGAAATAACGGCATCTTGTCAGGTGGAAAAGAAAGTGCCGTGTCCAGGAACTTGCAAGCTGATAAATAGAGGACCAGCTCACTCTGGGGTATCTCCCCCACCAATGGCCCATTTCCATCAGAGGCTCCAACTTTCATTCTGTTGATTTTGTTGCTATTTCTATAAATTGGCAAAGAAACTCTTGTTAGAAATTCATTCACATTTGCTATAGTCCTTTTGCCTATGAAATGTCCATAAGAAGGTTTTTTCCTTTTGAGAAGTGGTCAGAATAGCTGGTCCCTTCACAACTACTTCAAGAAAATCATGTTTAGGATTATCTAACCCTACATTATAAATTGATGTCCACAGTCTGGATCTAAAAAGAAAAAAACAATAACAAAAAAAATACAGTGATGTCCATTAACCTTCACATATGTGCAGAGACTCATACACTACTTACCTCAATGATTCATTGTCCTTTTTCAGCTCTTCTTCAAGCTGTATGAATGCCTGAATCTTAAAAAAAAAAAAGTGAATTCAAGTTACTATTTGAGAGGTCAGATCTAGCTTAATGTTTAAAATTTATATATCCATAAAAATCAGCAAATAAAACAAAAGAAGTAATCAAAACTATGAAAAGACAACCTATGAAATGGTAAAAAAAATATTTGCAAACCAAATACGGTAAGGGATAATATCCAACATACATAAAGAATTCATACAACTCAATAACAAAAAAGCAAATAATCAACTGAAAAACGGGCAGAGGACTTGAATAGACATTTTTCCAAGGGAGATACAGGAGTGGCCAACAGGCACATGAAAAGATGCTCAACATCACTAATCATCAAGGAAACGCAGATCGAAACCACGATGAGACACCACCTCACACCCATTAGAACTGCTGTCACCCAACGGGTGAGATTATAAATGTTGGTGAAGGTGTGGAGGAAAGGGAGCCTTTGTGTACTGTTGGTGGGATGATAAACTGGTGCAGTCACTATGGAAACGAGTAGGACGGCTCCTCAAAGAAGTAAAACACAACTACCATGTGATCCAGGAAGCCCACTTCTGGGACTACGCTCAAAGAGAATGAAAATATTCTCACAGAGATATGTGCATCCCCATATTCACTGCGGCCTTATTTACTAGGTTAGCCAAAAAGTTTGTTCAGGTTTTTCTGTGACATGGGAAGAACCTGAATGAACTTTTTGGTCAACCCGATACAACAGCCAAGATATGGAAACATCCTAAGTGTCTATCAACAAATAAATGGATTAAGAAACTGTTTCATATATATATATGAATATATACATATATACACATACACATATATACACACACACAAGCATATGTATATACACACATATGCACATATATATATGCATATGTGTATACACACATACATGCACATGTATATATGTATGAGAATACACACACACAGTAGAATGTTATTCAGCACAAAAAGGAGGAATCTTGCCATTGGCACATCTACAGTAATGTGGAAGGACTCTGAGGGCATTACACTATGTAAAATAAGTCAGAAGAGAAAGACAAAAACTGTATGATCTCACTTATAAGGAGAACCTAAGAAACAAAGCAAAACCAAACCAAACTCACAGAAGAGATCAGAGGCAGGGGGTGGGAGGAGGGAAAATTGAATGAAGGTGGTCGAAACGTACAAATGTCGATTTATAAGACGTATGTTATTACTAGGGATGTAATGCAGGGTGTGACAACTGCAGTTAAAGCTGCTGTAAGTCACAGGTGAAAGTAAAGACAGTAAATCCTGAGCTGTCATCACAAGGGAAAAAATTCTTTTCTTTTGGATCCCTATCAGATGATGGATGTTAAGTGAATGTGATAAGGGTTTCATGATATATTTCAGTCAAATCATTATGCTGTACACTTTAAACTTATACACTGCTGCATGTGTATTTTATATCTCAATAAAAGTGGGAAAAGTCCAGTTTAAAAACTAGCAAATAGGGAGTTCTATGGAGGTCCAGTGGTTAAGACTCAATGCTTTCACTTCTGGGTTCAATCTTTGGTTGAGGAAGTCAGATCCCAAAAGTCTCTCGGGATGGCCAAAAAAAAGCAAATAATATCAAATTAATTTAAATAACTACAGTTGAGAGGTCAGCTATGATTAGAGGATAAAATATCTCTACCTAACCAAGAGCTGACCATGCACTACCAACTTGATTGAAAATTTTACAGATAAAATTAGATATAAGCGAAAGGATACATTATTCCTGAAAACGCATTTTAAAAAGCTCCAATTTTATCTCAAGAATAAAGTATTTGCACTTACCAATTCAGAGACCATTATTGGCCACAGTGAAGTCAAGTGTTGGGGAGATATTCTTAGCAGCAAAACTCTGAAAAACAGAAACATCTGAGCAGCAACTGAGGATGTCTGTCCCACTCTGAGATTGTCTGTCAGGCGTTCTAAGGAAAGAAGATTTTCGAGATGTCACACAAATGAGGAGTTTGGAGCTTCTCACTAGACACAGAGGAAAAACACAACTGCAGCTGCTCTGATATTTGACAACTGTACACGAGTGGGGCGTTGGGAGAATCGTATTGCTCTCCTTGTTTGCCCACAGACCTCTTCTTTGTGAGGCACAGCAGTTCATGGCCTTTGCTAAAGAAGTGAATCAAGGGTCTCTTATTCCCCTGCTACAGCTGAGTAGGAAGGAGGGCATCAACTTCTGGCTCAAGCCAGAAATCCACTGCATCATCAGTGAGCATGTAAATGATACTGGTGGCTTTTTAAAATTTTTGGTCATGCTGTATAGCTTGCGGGATCTTAGTTCCCTGACCAGGGATCAAACCCGTGCCCTCTGCAGTAGAAGCATGGAGTCCTAACCGCTGGACCTCCAGGGAAGTCCTGTAAATGTTCTTCTAAGAATATGAAGCATGAGACATCGAAACCAAAGACAGCCCTTGGTAAGGATTGGAACTATAAGACCACATAGGTTGGTTGGCAGATGACACTGTATTTTGGGGGTGAGGAGTGACGAGTGAAATGAGTGAATAAAAGAATTATTCAGTTAAGTTTAGGTTTGATGACTACGACAAAAACTTCAATTCCTGCAGGGAAAAAAAAAGTTGAGGGAAGCTCTCTAGTCCCTAAGTCTTCCCAATTTCTCCATTGAAATAACTGCTTGTAGAATGTGATTCTTCCCATAATTTAGGGTTTCTGAGGAATATGACAAATTAACATGGCAAACAGCTGAACTGTGGTCGTGCTGGTTAAGATTCACTGGAGTACATTAGTAATAAACTTCTCTTAAAATCATATAATATAAATAATACTCTTTCTTCCTGAGTATTTAACCTACGTTCAACAGTAAAAGCAAAAAGTTTATCTCAATCTCTTATGGTTCCAGTGCGAAAAGTAGTATTTCACATAACTATACCACATGGGTGAAAAGAAGAGCATCCCAAATGATGTAAAATGTTGATACAAGTACATACAGTCTATGTTCACTGCAATCCCTATAGCGACCACTGCAAAAATCTTTAAAAAGAGACACATCCCTAAACCCACTTTAAATAAATCAAAAAGGAACACTGAAAAAAATGTTCAAGCAACCTCAGGAAAATACAAAAAGGCAAACAAATGAACAAAAAAACAAGGAACAAACAGAAAATAAATAAAAAGGCATAATATATCCTGACATGCCAGTAATTACATTAAAGGTAAACTGTCTATACCTGCCAGTTAAAAGAGAGAGATTGAATGGATTAAAGAAATGACCTAGCTGTATGCTATCTTACACAAAATTGCCTTCAAATATAATGATATAAGTAGGTTAAAGGTTGCCAACGTTTTAAGAAAGCTGGAGTGGCACTATTAACATAACACGGAATGGACTTCAGGGCAGAGCAAAGCACTAGGGTCACAGAGGGACACTGCAGAGAGCAAGGTCAATTCAGCAGGAAGAGACAACGTTCCCAAATGCCTGTGTGCTGGACAAGAGGTCTAGATTACAAGCAGGAAGAACTACCAGAACTCAAAGAAGAGTAGCTTCTGACAACGGTAGCTGAGGTTCAACATCCCTACCCCATGACTGATAGAAGCCCTAGGGAAAAAAACAGTCAAGTAAGGATAAAGTCCTGGGTGTTCATTGGAAGGACTGATACTGAAGCTGAAACTCCAATACTTTGGCCACCTGATGCGAAGAGTTGACTCATTGGAAAAGACCCTGATGCTGGGAGGGATTGGGGGGCAGGAGAAGAAGGGGACGACAGAGGATGAGATGGCTGGATGGCATCACCGACTCGATGGGCATGGGTTTGGGTAAACTCCGGGAGTTGGTGATGGACAGGGAGGCCTGGCGTGCTGAGATTCACCGGGTCGCAAAGAGTTGGACGTGACTGAGCGACTGAACTGAACTGAAGGATACAGAAGAACTGAGCAATACCATCAGCCTGTAGGATCTAAACAACACTTGCAGAACACTCCGCTCAATGCAGCAGAATTCGTCTCATTAACTGCTCGTGGAACATTCACCAGGACTGCTTTATGACCCGTGATAAAATCTAACTTCAACAAATTTAAATTCTACAAAGAATGTTCTCTGACCACGTGTGTGTGCTCAGTCACTCAGCTGTGTTTGACTGTGACCCCGTGGACTGCAGCCTGCCAGACTCCTCTGTCCATGAGGATTCTCCAGGCAAGATTCTCCAGGGCTGCCATGCCCTCCTCCAGGGGATCTTCCCCACCCAGGAATCAAACCCAGGTCCACGGCATTGTAGGTGGATTCTTTACTGTCTGGGGCACCAGGGAAGCCCACTCTGACCATGATGGACTCAAACTGGAAATTAATTGCAGAAGAACAACTGGAGGGAAATTAACAAACTTCTATTAATAAATAAGATACGGGCTGAAGAGCAAGCATCAAGTAAAAAATATAAAGAAATGAATGAAAATTAAAAGATTATCAGATTTTGTGGGATATAGTTAATGAGAGGGAAATGTATAGCGCTAGATGCTTACATTATAAAAGAAGAAAGTGCTCAATTCTATAATTCAAGCCTCTATGTTATGAGACTTGGAGAAGGAAATGGCAACCCACTCCAGTACTCTTGCCTGGAGAATCCCATGATAGAGGAGCCTGGCAGGCTACTGTCCATGGGGGTCGCAAGAGTCGGACACGACTTAGCGACTAAACCACCACCACCATCAACTTACGAGACTAGAAAAAGAACAGACTAAACCCAAAACAAGGACAGAGAAGGGCATGATAAAGAGCAGAAATAAATGAAATTGCAAACAAGACAACAATAATACAGAAAAAAAACCCCACAGTTTGGTAATTTGAAAAGAATAAAACTGATAAAACTTCTAGAAACACTGACCCCCAAAAAGAGAAGGTAAATTACCAATATCAGGAATGAAACAAAGATTATCTCTACAGGCATCAAAAAGGATAATGACATTTGAATTATTGCTTAAATGAGGATGCAAAATGGTAAATTCACTCTGAAAAACAGTTTGGCAGTTTCTTAGAGAGTTTCTTAAGAGCTCCTTAGAGTGTTAGATGACAAAGGTTCATCTAGTCAAAGCTATGGTTTTTCTAGTAGTCATGTATGGATGTGAGAGTTGGACAATATAGAAAGTTGAGCGCCAAAGAACTGATGTTTTTGAACTGTGGTGTTGGAGAAGACTTTTGAGAGTCCCTTGGACTGCAAGGAGATCCAACCAGTCCATCCTAAAGGAAATCAATCCTGAATATTCATTGGAAGGACTGATGGTGAAGCTGAAACTCTAAGATTTTGGTCACGTGATGCAAAGAACTGACTCACTGGAAAAGACTCTGATGCTGGGAAAGATTGAAGGCAGGAGGAGAAGAGGACGACAGAGGATGAGATGGTTGGATGGCATCACCGACTCGATGGACATGAGTTTGAGCAAGCTCCAGGAGTTGGTGATGGACAGGGAGGCCTGGCATGCTGCAGTCCATAGGGTCACAAAGAGTCAGACGCGACTAAGCGACTGAACTGAACTAGAGAGTTAAACACACATTTACCACAGGACCCTGTAATCAAACCCTGTGTAGAGAAATGACAATTTACAACCACACAAAAATGGTACATGCACGTTTATCATAGAGGCTTTATTTCTAATAACCCTATACTGGAACAACACAAATGTCCTCCAGTTAAATGGATAAATGAACTGTGAAACATCCATAAAAAGGAGTATTATTACTCATTAAAAAAGAGCAAATTCTTGATACACCCATGAACCTACCTCTTGCCTACTACTTGCCTCTGGATGGATCTCAGAAGCATTGGACTGAATGAAAAAGCTATTCTCTAAAGGTGACATACTGCATTGATTCCATTTACGCAATATTCTCAAGGTGACAAATGAAAGTGGTAGAGAAAGTGATAGGTGAGCAGTTTCCAAGGGTTAGGGCTGGGTAGAGGGTGTGACTCTATAAAGAAGTGAGTGGCTTCAGGGAATTGCTTAGTGGCGAGGGAAGAGTTCTACGTCCTAACTGCAGTGCTGTCCACAATAATTTGTAGAGGAGATTCATTCACAGAACTGGACACACAGATAAACATACACAAGAAGAATGCATTGTAGAAACTGGTGAAATCTGAACAAGTCTCTAGTTGAGTTGCGGTAATATTCCCAGGTCAATTTTCTGCCTTGATGAGGGACTATGCTCATGTGAGATGTTACCACGGGGAAAGCTGGATAAATGGTACACAGGAACACTAGGTACTATTGGTGCAACTTCTTGTGAGTCTTAATCTATTTCAAGAAAAAACATTTTAAAAAAGTGGTTTGTACACATAGGGGATATTACATATTGATACTTCAAATAAAAACTAAATTCCTGAGATTATTCTTCAGTCAAGATGAGCTATTTTAGAATCTCTAATACTCCTTTCTTAGCTGAGTGATAAACCTTAGAGGCTTAAGGAGTTCTTGTGAGCAGAGAGCGGAGACAGCCCTGAGCCAGGACTCTGTACCACTGTCAAGGTTGCGGAATCTCATTTTAGGCTGGCCAGGTAATCTCGCTGAGTCCGCTTCCCATCTGTGAAACTCACCTGCCTCAAAGGGTACCACCTGAAGACTACAGCCTACTGTAGGGAGCCAGAGAGCTCAGACTTCAGTCCAGGTTTTGCCAGGTAGTGGCAATGCAACTTTATGGAGGTGCTAATCCCTCTGAGCATCGGTATCCCGATGTAAAAATGGAGCTAACACAGGACAACGAGGAAGACTTAAAAGATGGGAAGGACTTCAGTGGACCTGGAGGGAGCTGCCCTCATCAGTTAAAGGGCCTGGAGTGTTGCCTCGAGGTCTTTCTGATCCCTTCGTCAGGGTCCTTTGTAGGGGGTGATGCCTGTCTTCCTTTCATTCTAGACAAGTAGCATTTCATCATCCTTCCCAAACTGCTTTGAGCTCATTTACAGATTCTTCTGAGATCAATGTAAAATTTATGTCATGAGGAGCCAAGATATACGGCGTTATTAGCTCCGCACTCCACGCACAACGATCACCCACACCCAGGGCTGCTTGATGGGGGTCAGTCAGGGGGAAAGGACCCCAGAGGTTACCCCAGAGGAGAAATGCCAGGCCTTTCCCATTCAGATCAGGACCTGACTCTTTACCATGGTGTGCAATTATTTAGAACCTTATGGATCATTTACTCCCTTGACCTCATTGCTCTAGGGGCCAGTCAGTGACCCAAGACTGTCAGAGAACACTCTGAAACCCACCACTCCAGCACCACCAGGGAGTTCCACTCTATTTTTTCAAACAGGTAGTATTTAAAAAAAAAAAAAAAAAGAGCCCTTGAGTTATCCAAAGTGGAGGGTATGTCTATGGAGAAATTCCTCTTTCTCCAAGGGCTCCCAAACCATTTCCTACTTAAAGTCAGCATGAAGGTGACCTCTATGCATATAAGAAAGTGAAAGTGAAGTAGCTCAGTCGTGTCTGACTCTTTGTAACCCCACGGACTATAGCCCACCAGGCTCCTCCATCCATAGGATTTCCCAGGCAGGAATACTGGAGTGGGCTGCCATTTCCTTCTCCAGGGGATCTTCCCAACCCAGGGATTGAACCCGGGTCTCCAGCATTGCAGGCTGATGCTTTACCCTCTGAGCCACCAGGAAAGCCCCCATATACATATAAGCCATATATAAAAGTACCATATGGAATGTGTATACTATTCTGTGGCCCCCTACTTCTCTCCCCCTTTCATGATTTCTCAGAAATCCTGCCGTGGTCAGACTCGCCACGCCGCTGGTTAAGGAAGGCCACTGTCTGTCCTCTTCTTGTTCTACACTCTGGACAGTTCTCTTCAGCCCCACTCAGCCCGGGTTTTAGGAGAGCATCTGACGGGAGAGAAGGTGGACCGCCTGCTTCACTGGCCCCCGCGCTCCTTCCGGGACAGGGGCTTGACGCTGCCCTTTCAGGCCCCTGTCCCCCGGCCAGGTGTGTGAAGCACCATCCCAGATGCTGCCCGTGAACCACAGGAAACGTGGTTCCTGTCGCTCCTCCTCCCTCCCAAATCCTGTCAGGATGCCACGAAATTCAGCTCTGACTCTGCTCTGAGCTGAAGGCTTTGGGGGGCTTTACTGGCACTCCTGGTCACCCTCTGATCACATCAGCCCGTTAGTACTTCGAGTAAGGATCTGTCCTATCTGAATATTCACTTTCACACATTGTAGGTATTCAGGATTTTATGGCATGAACATCTCCGTGATGCGCTTGACATTGTGGAAGTTATGCCAGCTGAAGTAGAAAATGGTGTCTTTTATTATTGCCAATGTAAAATACTACCATAATTAATACCTAGGAAAGCTGTTAATGTTTTGGCCTAAAATCATTAAGACCTTTCAAATGGTCAATCAAGTAGGGATGTGGGCTGAGAACTAGTAGTACTAATATTTAGGAAAAGCATGTATTTTGTGAACTGACAGATATTTACATGAAAATTTTTTAGGAGGGCAGTGTTAAGAGATTTATTGCATAATTCTATGTGGAAACAACCTGAATGCTTTTCCACTGGTGAACAGGTAAACAACTCACAGAATGGAACACTATAAATAAACAGAAATAAAAAGGAATAACTCTGGATAAGTACAATAGCATGAATGACTCTCAAACACAAAAGAAGCCAGACTCAAAGGCTCTACACTGTCTAATCACATTCACATTTATAAGACATTTTGGAAAAAATGAAACTACGTGAACAGAAAGCAGATTTACCGGTTGATGGGGTCAGGGGAGGAGATGACTTCTGAGGGGCAAGAGCGAACTTTCAGGTGTGATGGAAATGTTCTGTATCTTGATTGTAGTGGTGGTTACATGACTGTATGTGCTCATCAAAATTCACAGAATGGTACAGCCAGAAGGGTGACTTTTATTGTATGTGAAGTGTCACTCAGTCGTTTCCGACTCTGAGCAACGCATAGACTGTAGCCCACCAGGCTCCTCTGTTGATGGAGTTCTCCAGGCAAGAATACTGGAGTGGGTAGCCATTCCCTTCTCCGGGGGATCTTCTGGACTGAGGGAGGGACTGAACCTGGGTTTCCTGTGCTGCAGGAGGATTCTTTACCATCTGAGGCACTAGGGGATGTCATCTTTACTGTATGTAAATTACACCTTAATAAACCTGACCCTCCTCTCAAATGACTGACATCATCGTAGTTCTAGTAGTTGTAAAACTGTTTTTACACTAGTACTCATGATATTTAATATGATCTTGAAAGATTTTTTTTTTTACTTCATTATATCCCGTTTAGGCTATGAGTCTCAAGAAAAACACATTTCTATTTGAGAATTCTTGAACATCTTGGAGGAGGGTGAATTAGAACGTTCATCTTAACACTTCATGAGGAGCAGAAAAAACCCTCCAAAGTCATGGGCAATATCCACATTCGTTGTTAAAAGAGCATTTTTGATGCTGACTGTTTTTAAAGTCTTCTTTGAATCTGTTGGGCTTCCCAGGTGGCGCAGTAGGTAAAGAACCCGCCTGCAATGCAGGGGATGCCGGAGATACGGGATCGAGTCCTGGGTCGGGAAGATCCCCTGGAGGAGGACATGGCAACCCACTCCAGTATTCTTGCCTGGAGAATCCCCATGGACAGAGAAGCCTGGTGGGCTACAGTTCACAGGTTGCCAAGAGTGGGACACGATTGAAGCAACTTGAGCGGCAGCACAACACTGAATTTGTTACAATGTTGCTTCTGCTTCACCTTTCAGTTTTTCTGGCCCAGAGGGATGTGGGATCTTAGTCCCCCAACCAGAGACCGAACCCCTCACCCCCTGCTGAAGGTGAAGTGTTCACCACTGGACCACAAGGGAAGTCCCAGTCATTCATTTCTGAAGCAGATAAAGGATACTGCGAGGGTGAAGGAGAGGAAAAGAGGCACTCCTCCACAGTCCTGCTCCTCCGCTAGCCTCCGTTAGGACTGCACCCTCCAAGCATCTGGACTGCAGGAGGGATCGAGCAGGAGACAGTGCTGAAGAAGTACGGCCAGATTTTTAAAGATGACCTAATAAAAACTAACAGCACTATAGCAATTAATTTTTAAAACAAAGTTCCCGATTTACCGAAGTTCTTCTATGATCACCCCTGCAGAACGCTCATCTGACACTGGCCCATTCTGCCAGCATGTGCTGGCCCCTCTGGGCCTGTCTGTGTGGGGAGGGGGTTGGGGGGAGGGTGGGCCTTCTTACCTTGGATCAGAGGAAGGTAAAGGTGGTACTGATCAGGTTCTCCACTGAAGACAGCAAAAGCCTGGCGCTTTAGCAGCATGGCTTTCTGCTCAAAACTGGAGAACAGTTTTAAAGAACTGCTCTGCATGTCTGAAATAAATATAGCAAATAAGGTTCACTTAGTGAGAAACCTACAATGAGAGGTAAGTGATGAGAAATTCACACAAGTGTTCATTCCTATCTCCCCTGGTGGAATGTGATCTTGATTAAGGGCATGTAGCTATTATCCAAATATTTAAAATTTATAGAAGTATTTACTTCTTGAGTGATACTTAATGATAGGGTGTTTGAAGACGATATGTGGTATAGGAAAGTACTCCTAACAAATTATAGTCACCTTATCATTGCTTTCAAAAGTATTTTCTCCACTATAAAAATGCAAAAATGGTGGTTAGAGGCATTCTTGTCAACTGACCAGAACTAGGAAGGTTCATTCATGGAGTCCTGACAAATCCTATGCGTCACATTACAGTTTGTGGCTGAAACTGCACCATAAAAAGTTTGAGTCATGTTCTGAAATACGTGGTAAAAGCTGATTATGACCAAAAGGCTTTGGTCCTTTAAAGTGTGACTTATGTGCATGTAAACACAGAAGAACTTACTCATTAGATCTTTAAACATTGTTTTCTCATGAGTCAGAAGATGGTCAATAATGGACTTCCAACTGGATATTTTAAAAAAAGAAAGCAAAGTTAAATATGCAAAGAGTGACAGAGAGTTCAGTCAAAAATAGCAAGGAAAAATAACATGTCCCTTTAAGATTAAAAACTCTTTTCTGAAAAGTTAGTGAAAGGGATGAATAGTTTTTACATAAGGAGAAGCTAGGCAGAAGCTCTTCATTTATAACCTTAATATAGGGAATAAATAACCTAGGAAGTAATAAATAATTGCCAGACCACCATAAAAGAAAGCACTCGTTCAAAGTTCTTTGGCTTTTGCAGAAAGAAAAGTGTTAGTCACTCAGCCGTGTCTGACTTTTTGCGAACCCATGGATCGTAGCCCATCAGGCTCCTTTGTCCATGGGATTCTCCAGAATCTGGAGCGGATTGCCATTTCCTTCTCCAGGGAATCTTCCCAACCCAGGGATCGAACCCTGGTCTCCTTCATTGCAGGTGGAGTCCTTTACCATCTGAATCAAGAGGCTTTTGCAAAAGCTTCCCTTAAATGTGTTTGCACAGATGAAGTCCATACACTCGTGTTGAGGAACAGCAGAGGGGTCCTGAAGACAAATACCACTAGTTTTCATCAGAGTCTCCCACAGTGCAACAGGATTACAGGGTGAAAGTGAGAGTTGCTCAGTCGTGTCTGACTCTTTTGCGACGCCAGGGACTATACAGTCCATGGGATTCTTCAGGCCAGAATACTGGAGTGGGTGGCTGTTCCCTCCTCCAGGTTTCTTCCCAACCCAGGGATTGAACCGAGGTCTCTGGCATATTGCAAGCGGATTCTTTCCCAGTTGAGCCCCCAGGGAAGCCCAGGAACACTGGAGTGGGTAGCCTGTCCCTTCTCCAGCAGATCTTCCTGATGCAGCGTGAAAGACCATGGGCAAAGAAGCTGACCAGTCTCTACCCTCGACCCCTGTTGTTAATAAAGACACATTCAGCCAAGCTACAGGCAGAATTACAAGTGGTTCTGCTGACCTCCGAGTAGAAGGTGCAGTCAGTTCATCCTGATGCCAGGCATCTCCGCTGCCCACGCAGAGCCTGGCGGCTGCACGGTCTCAGCAAGGACTCATGGAGTGTGAGCCCAGAAGTGGGGGAAGGACCCGGAGGGTCACCGCAGGGCCCTGTCGTCTCAATACTGGTCCAGCATCTTATGATTACAAGACAGAGAAGCACGGACCAAGTACCGCTGGAACCCCTTGTTATGCTCTTTAGGAATAATAACAATTCATCTCTTGATTAGAAAAAAAAAGGGCACCTATGTCATTTTCAAAAGACTTACATTCCTTCCCCGGAAATACACCGCTAACCTGTGAGTGGTGTCCTGTGATTTGGGATGATAACAGTCAGCTCTGCTCCCCAGTTCAGGAATGGGAACTAATTACAGAAACCCATACACTTTGCCACGTGAAGGTTCCCGGCCCGTTTTTATAAATCAGGACGGCATTTCTTACTGCACACAAGACGTGTCCATCTGGAAGAAGGCTGGGTCCAAGAATAACTCCAGGGCTTCTTTCTTCCAGGCTCGCTTGGTATAGGCATACCCGCTCAGAGAACTCAGCAGCTGGGCGCCCGCCCGGAAGCTGGGGGCATTGTAGGCGCTGCAAGGGCGTGGGAAGGGCAAAGGGTCAAGTCAGAGGCCGTGAGAGGAGCCCTGTTGGATGCATTTCCCATGAGCCATCTTCCTGCACCTGGGCAGGAGTGGGCGGGTTTGCGGGGCTACAGAGGCGGCCATACCTGTGATTGCGTAGGTAAGGAAAGACATAGTACAGCAAACGTGAGATCAAGGGCACTGCTTTCTCCTTCTCGTCGCTTCGGTAAACCATGTCCAGGAGTGATGCCAGGACCTAGGAGAGCAGGAGTCGGAAAACAGGCTCTCCTAAAGGGAGTGGCATTTGGGGTACACACAGCCTAGCCTAGCAGGACAACCCCACGGGGCAGCCAGAGGCCCAGGCTGGCTTACTGGCTCGGCTGGGATGGGGCAGCCCGAGCCCCCAGTCTCTGAGAATGGACGCGCCCTGGTGAAGCCTCATTCCCCCGGCGGGGATGACAAGGCAGACGCACACTTACCTCTGCCAGGAGGGACAAGGCCTGCACGCTGTACACTGAGGGCGCAGAGGCAGAGACCATCGCTGAAGCGGCAGCGGCAGCGTCTGCTGAGAGAGGCATTTGCGTTTTAACTGTGACAGATGGGGCACTTGCCCGCTGGCCCAGTGGTTAGGATGCTGCGATCTCACTGCTGGGGCTGGTGGTCACTCCCTAATCAGGGAGCTAAGATCTCGCAGGCCGAACAGCCAAAAAAAAAAAAAAAAACCACGATGGATTGGTCACCATTTATGCCCCCAAAGCATCACATGAACGTGAGTCACGAGTCTCTACCTTTCACGCTGATTACGTGTGTTAAGTATGTGTTAGGTACTTTTCTCTTCTCACAAGTTCAGTTTTGGCAACCGAGAACCTTTGTTCAGCACCAGCTCACCATCTTCCTCCCTGCTTCTCTTCCCATCATCATTCTTGGAACTTCAACATCCCCTTGGGTGGTGCCTCTGTCACCCTGGCCTCTGAGCCCCTCAAGTCTTTTCAGCGATCTTTTTATTTTGCTCCAGTTCAGCTAGCCACTGTCTCCGTCACACACATGGTAGCACCAGTTTCCCAAATCTCCATCTCGAGCCTCCTGTCATGACCGTGTCTTATTTTACCTGCTCGCTTACTCCTGGAATGCTGCTCTGACAGCTTCCTCCAGCCCCTGGAACTCCTCACCTTAACAACCCATCAACCTCCCAGGTCTTCACTTCTCTTCCTCCCCACCCACACCCGAGGTCCATCAGCCACCCTGAGAGCATCCTTCATTCTTTATCTCCTCTCTCCCTCCTGAAGCAATCACTCAGAAGCATGCGAGGCTGGCTAAACCCAGTGATTGCCTGGTTCCGCACAGTGAAATGCTCCGGAGAAAAAAACCAAACCACTATGAAATAGATCTCACTCTATTTCATGACCATGAACCTCAAAAAAACACCTGATGCTACTAGATGCACCTCCTCCATGTATCTCAATGCTATGCTGGCTTCCTCACTCTCCAACCTAATTCGCCTCCTCCCTCCAGAGCCACCACTACATGCACCTTCTCAGCTGGCAATCTCACTTCATATTTCATTCAGAAAATGAATGTAAACAAATGGGAACTCCCTCAGTTTGGCCCTACACATTATTAATCTAGCACACTGATATCCACGTTCTCTGTCTTGTCTGTTTGATAGACATGTTCCCGGCTCTTGTCAAAGAACAGTAATTCCATTGACCATGTTAATTCTGGCCCTGTGGCTGTCAAGACCTGATGCTGGGAAAGACTGAAGGCAGGAGGAGAAGGGGACGACAGAGGAAGATATGGTTGGATGGCATCACTGACTAGATGGACATGAGTTTGAGTAGGCTCTGGGAGTTGATGATGGACAGGGAGGCCTGGCGTGCTGCAGCCCATGGGGTCACAAAGAGGTGGACACGACTGAGCGACAGAACAGATGGCTGTCAAGACGTCACTTTCTAACTATCCTTTCACCTTTTGGTGTTGATTTCTACCGCTCTGCTGCACTGTTTTGGCACCACACAATTACGCTTTGATGAACTCTAACTGAAAAGTAAGCCAAGTAAACAATATTCTTTGGCCCTTAGTACTACATCAGTAGGGTTCCCTGATGCCCGAAGCGGTACAGAATCTGTCTGCGGTGCAGGGGACGTGAGTTTGGTCCCTGGGTCAGGATGATCCCTGGAGGAGGAAATGGCAACCCACTCCAGTGTGCTTGCCTGGGGAATCCCGTGGACAGAGGAGCCTCTCGGAGCATTACGTTGGCGAGTGGGGAAGGCAGCATAGTGCCGAGGTACATTGTGGGCAGGGTAGGGGGTTCTCTATGGGGTTTCCCTTGTAGCTCAGTCGGTGAAGAATCTGCCTGCAGTGCAGGAGACCCGGGTTCGATTCCTGGGTCAGGAAGATCCCCTGGAGAAGGAAATGGCAACGCACTCCAGCATTCTTGCCTGGAGAATCCCATGGACAGAAGAGCCTGGCGGGCTACAGTCCATGTGGTCACAAAGGGTCAGACATGACTTAGCGACGAAACCACCACCACTGCTCTATGGGAGGGTTAGCATGTGGGCTGCAGTCCATAGGGTCTCAAAGAGCCGGACACCACTGAGCCTGCATTCACTACTTGATTCCTGTCCCACTGACGAGTAAGCCTCAGTGGGTTATCGACACCCACTGCCAGGTCCTTCTCATCTCAGTCCTTTATCCCCCCCGACCCCAGCGTGCCATGACCCCCAGCCGTCCAGAGAGCCTGCGTCCTTATCTCACACTACTCCTCAGCAGCCTTCTACCGCGCGCCTCCTCCCTCCTTCTGGAAACACTCTCCTCACAGTTTCCATGACTTGATGTTTTCTCGGTTTCTCCTCCTACCCCAGTGACCTTTCCCAGACCATCTCAAGATTTAATACGGCCATGCAAACCCAGGCTCCACTTCCCTCCCCCCAGATGTTCCTGCTGCAGTCTTCTCCATCACCGGCAGCTGTTTAAACCTAAACCCGAAGTCGCCCTGACTGCCTTTTGGTGACTCCCATGTCCAGGCCATCAGCCGGTTCCAGGGACCCTGCCCTCCCACCAGCCCACTGTGTTTTAGCATCTGTGCCTCTAAACCAGCGTCAGCTGCGCCCTAAGCACCATGAGAGTCCTCTGCCTGAACCTCTGGTTTCTGTTCTGGGTTGCCGCGGCCCATGTTGCTCCCAGCAGCCACACTGATGTTTTCTGAAAACTCAGTCAGATCCTGTCACTGCTCCAAACGCTTGAATGGCTTCCCACAGCAAGTGGGCGGACGGCCAAGCCCCGAGGCGAGCTCAGCCTCGAGCCCCATGGCCCTCCTCCCCCGCGCTCTTCCGGACCTCGCCTGACTGCTCGGTAGGTTCCCAGAGGTTCTCAGCCCACTCCCACCCCAAGGGTTCACCATCCTCCACCCCCACCCCGGGGAGTGCCTTCTTAGGTCTCTGCACGCTCGCCCTCTTATCTCTCATTTCTGGCTGTGCTGGGTCTTTGCTGCTGTGCACGGATTTTCTCTAGTTGCAGCAACTGGGGGTCCTCTCTGTTGTGGTGGGCTTCCCTGCTGGCTCACACGACCCACCTGCCTGCCAGGGAGACCTGGGTTCGATCCTTGGGTCTGGAAGATCCCCTGGAGGAGGACACGGCAATCCATTCCAGTGTTCTTGCGTGGAGAATCCCATGGACAGAGGAGCCTGGTGGGCTACAGCCCATGGGGTCACAAAGGGTCAGACGTGACTGAGACACTAATACGTCTTCTGACTGTGTTGCAGTGTGCAGGCTTTGATAGTTGCGGTGCATGGGCTTAGCTGTCCTGAGGCACGTGGGATCTTAAGCTCCCTGACCAGGGATGGAATCCTTGTCCCTTGCATTGGCAGACGGACACACAACCACTAGACCACCAAGGAAGTTGCCCCGCAACTTTATCTTTCATTTCTCAGCACAACTGTCACTTCCTTGGGGACATGTTCTGTAACATCTAAAGTGAATCCTGCCCCACTCCCATTAAAAAATATATATATAAACGCATATATCATTTTGGAATGACTGCATTTCCAGAAGAACTGAAAGATACCTTTTGTTAATTTACTCTGGACCATCACTTCCATGTACCCCGTCAACAGCAGAGGCCCTGCTCATTCTGATTGCTGCTGGCGCAGCAGCGTCCAGAACATGGCGCGCAGCACACACCAGACCCAAACGTCCACGGAAGACCCCGCATGTCCGCTGCGTGCATAAAGACTCTAAGCCGAAAAAAACACGTCACTTGAAGGCTCATTCTGTTTCATGCTTTATATCGCTTAGTTTGCTTAAGACTGAAATAAAAAAATAGTTACGATCCAGAGACTCTTTTGGTACTCTACACTTTGCTAATTAGTTCAGTTCAGTTTAGGCGCTCAGTCGTGTCCAACTCTTTGCGACCCCATGGACTGCAGCACGTCAGGCCTCCCTGTCCATCACCAACTTTCGGAGTTTACCCAAATTGCTAATTAAGACGCCCCAAGTCACTTTCTGCTTTGGAATTCTGTTTTTTTTTTTAGGCTGCACTGCACAGCATGTAGGAGCTTGGTTCCCCAATGAGGGATCAGACCCACGTGCCCTGCATTAGGAGCGCTGTCTCAACCACTGAACCAACGGGAAGTCCTATGATTCCTTTTCTTAAATAAAAACTCAGATAATTATTTGACTACTTTATTGTCTTGAGGTTAAATCTAACGACGGCAGAGAAGTCAGCCCAGAAACACCTGACACAGCTCAGCTGAGCTGGCGGTGATGGCGGCTCAGTGGCTCAGTCGTGCCTGACTCTCTGCGGCCCCACGGACTGCAGCACGCCAGGATTCAAGAGGCAGTTTCATCCGCACATCGGAAACTTTGGCAGAGTAACTGAGAGCAAAGGAGTCAAGGAGAGGCACGGACTCTCCTTCCCTGGAACCACAACTATAATCAGAGCCACAGCCTGAGAAAACGTAACTGTTGGTTTACGTTAGCAAATGATAGTACACGAGCTACAGGATCTTTGATACAGAGTGAAGTATGATTACTTTTCTTAGTAAACCGCAAAGCTAGCTGTCAGATAAACACGGTGGAAGTGATGGGAAGGGGCACCGCGGTTTGTCTGCCCAACGCCATCCCTTCTCCTCCTGGGAAGAGAAGCCCCTCTTGGGTGGGAGACCACTTTTCGGGGCTCCTGGGCACGAGCCCTTCCTGCCCACTGCTGGGCCAGCTGCGGACCAGGGAAGAACCAACCAGAACGCCTGCACAAGATGTGATGAACTGCGTCTGAACACGTGGTTCCGACTCTGCCCTCAAAACCAGACATGGACGCCTGGGCATTTCACAGACGTGAGCCAGAACGTCTGCGGCTGCTGTGTTTCTGTTCTCCCGAAGTGGGTTTCTGCTACTTGCAAGAGAAAAGAGCCCAGATTTCTTGACACGCCGTCCTTTGTACATTAAAACCCACAAATTCAGTTTCATTTCTGCTGCTGTAACAACTGCTAATGATAATGATCGAGGTCACATCAAAAGAGGAGGAAAAGGGAAACGTGAAAGTGAAGTGAAAGTCGCTCAGTCGTGTCTGACTCTTCGTGACCCCTTGGACTATACAGTCAATGGAATTCTCCAGGCCAGAACACTGGAGTGGGTAGCCTTTCCCTTCTCCAGGGGATCTTCCCAACTCAGGGACTGAACCCAGGTCTCCTGCATTGCAGGCGGATTCTTTACCAGCTGAGCCACCAGGGGAGCCCGATTTTCTTGTCTAGTGCTGAGCAGTGTGGGGACTGGGCGTAGTGTCTGCGTGTTAAATTATACTGGGAACTTGCAGAAATAATCATTAATACTTGCTCCAAGATATGCCTAATCTTGTAAGAAAGACTAAACTGACTAAAGCGGCTCACTTATCAAAACAAGCAGCGTGTTCATGAAGATTCACTTGCGGGCCCCCATCTAGCACTGTGCCCACCAGTGCAGACGTATCTGATCACTAACTCCACCCAGTCCCCACCTTGAAACATCTGCCACAGACAGCTTGACCTATGCCCCACATCCCCCTACCATCCTCCCCAAGCATCCCCTGTTGAGACAGCCCTCTGACTCGGCCAAGTTTCTCGCTTGCTGCAGCGGATCCAATAACCTGAGATGTGCCTGACTGAAAGATTCGCCTGGTGGTCTTTAGGGCACCGGCAACTGGCAGTCTACACCGTGGCATTTAATTCAGACCCCACGGGGGTTTCTGGCTGGTCAGCGGTCCTCCAAATTAACAGATGAGTGTCCTTCCAGAGTCTCCCGATCATTTGCCTAGGAAGTTAGAACTAATAATAAGGCTGGGGTGAGCCTACTGTGTGTGACCTCCATGATAAAATCTTAGTGACCTGGGCCATGACCAAATACAAGGATCTCTGGAAAGCAGGCCAGAAATGAAACACATCAATTGCTTGACAACAGTGAGCTGGTTTACTAAGTTTTCTTTCCACAGCTCCACAAAAAAAAGAAAAAAAAAAACACATGCATTCTCCCTATTCTTTACCTCACAAAGATTTCTACCACTGAGTCCATGCAAATTATCTTGGGAAGTTATTTCCCAGGACTCTCATCTAGGCTCATGGAGGGCTGAACACGGTAGCATGGGTCATTGGCACCCTTCCAGTGGAATTCTACTGTTTATTTTACTATGACTTATGTTTATGACACTACAACTTATATTGTAAGAAGCAAAGCCAGGTCACTTTTAATGCAGAGAGAGACCTGCTAGCTGGCAGCAGGCATTACTTTCTGAGCCATATATACCTACCATGCAAGTCTTCCTCAGCATCAGATTCTTCTAGAGAGATCTGAGGCTGGGCCTTCACTTCCAAGTTCCTGCTCAGCCAGCTGGTTTGTTCCAAGGAAGACCCAGCAATGTTCCCAACAGCATCCAGAATTTTTTGAGTGACTTCCTGAGAGGAACCGAGAGAAAAGAGGAAAGGAAGTTAAGAGAGTCTTAAGTGCCTAAGTTAGCACCATCCAACAGAAATATAATGCAAATCACAGCTATGAAGCATACAGGTAATAAAGTCTTCAAGGAGCTACCTTAAAAGAAGAAACAAGTTCACGGTGTGTAACTCGATACATCCAAAGTAGTGTCAACATATAATCGATATAAAATTAGTGAGATTCAGCATTCTTCTCTGTGCTAAGTATTTTCAACCTGATGCATGTCTTACGCTTCCGGCACGTTCAGTTCAGGCAAGCCACATTACAAGGGCTCAGCACCCATATGTTGAGCTGTGGCTGCTCTATGGTCAGTGGGTAAAACGGATACACAGGATGTCACAGCCACACAAGGCATTTGGCAGATTCGATTTCTGGTTTCTTTAGGACCACGGGTTCTTACTAGAGATGCACTTTTGACGAACACGACCAGAAACAAAACTGAGGAGCTTCAAACTGACTTGAGGGTGAAGAGCATAGGAGTGCTCTCAGTATAGAATCTGGTCAAGCAGCTGGGACATGAGAGGAGACACGGAGCGGGTATCATGGGGTATCGTCAGCTAAGAGGGGCTAGACATCCCTGACACGTGAGCAGTCCTGGCTTCTGCTCTGATTGCAGCAGGTGCATTCGGGCATGAAGCAAGAGTCCATCCCTCCCTGGTGGGAGGGACGGGGGTGGCGCACCCGGGGAAGAGGTGTGGGGGTGGACGCTGGCAGCAAGGGAGATGGTGGAAGGATGGATGGATCTGGGGATGATCGCTAAAGGGAAGCCAGGCAGAGAAAGACACACGTCAGATGACAACACTGACAAGGGGAATCTACGAGACGGCACAACAGAACCTACCTAGGAAACAGAAAGCAGACTCACAGACACAGAGGACAGACCTGGGGGTGCTGAGGAGGAAGGGGGCGCAGGAAGGATAGAGCAGGAGGCTGGGATTAGCAGATGCAAACGATTATATATACAGGATGGACAGACGATGGGGTCCTACTGCAGAGCAGAGAGCAACTGCATTCAATATCCTGCGATAAACCATAATGGAAAGAAAGAGGAGAAAGAATGCATACACGTGCATAACTGAGTGACTCTGCTCTACTGCAGACATTAACACGGCGCTGCTTATGCTTCAATAAAATAAATATGAAAAAAACATCAACACAAGGGGTTGAGCACTTAAGAGAAGTTGCCATTTCGAGGGCAGTGAGCAGATGGGGAAGTCAGGGTGCCTGGAAGCGGTAGGAAGGGGTCTGTGTCAGGAGGCCTGGGACCCTCTGGGTGGATGCAGGGGCCCACTGAGTACCCTCATCTCCTCGTCACTCCATCGTCACTTCTACTTATTGGCTGGGTTTCTACTCAAAGGAGATTTTCCTTCTCTGGTGGCTGAGCTTTACTTTTGCTTTTCAGTGTTTTTGAAGTTTCCCATGAGTCTGAATTGCTTTAATAAAGAGGAGGGGGGAAGGTTCTAAGGAAGGGAATCTGTGTATAAAGACAGATTTACTGCTCCAGCCATGCTGAAGAGTGAGCCTGCACACATCGGGGTCCAGGCGGAAGCAAGCAGGCACCCTGCAAATTGCAAGGTGGATGGCCCAAGGTTGACATAAGAACTGTCATCCAGAGACTCTATTGAGTCCTCTTGAAGACAGTAATACAGGGAGTCAGAAGTGGGAACACGTGCAAACCTAAGATCTGGTTCTGCCCCNTTTTAAATTAAAATACACACGTGCTAAATTGCAGCATTCTGGCAAGAACTTGGGGGCCTGGATTACCAGCCACCCGTCTAAACAGGTCAGATGCTCCTGGTTTCATTGTCTATAAAGTGAAAGCCTTGAACTGGAGGACGGATCTCTGGGCCTGTTCTGGCTCCATCTAGCATTTGGCCTCCCTCACGTCACTGGGAATGCAGAGTGAGCCATGGGGAGGTCGCGGAAGGTGCAGTCAGGGGTCACCCAGCAGGAGGCTGATCTTCAGTAGCTCTCAGGTCAGGCCTCATGGGAAATGAGGACTCGGGTTGTTGCCGTGGGGTGATGCTGCACTGCACAGGGAGGCAGCTGGGCTGCAGCCAGAGGGTCCCAGGGTTGAGTGCTGGTCCCCGACTCTCGGCCTCCTGAGAGTCCTGGGCAGGGCCTCCTCCCTGAAAGGAGGCTGCTGTCCCTGCAGCTGCGGGACGATGTCACTCAGGCCACTGCAGCCGGCGCTTGCTGGGATTACGACACGTATGAGTGAGCACTAGGAAGGACATGGGGAAAAGTGGAAGCAGTGACACTTTATTTTCTTGGGCTCCAAAATCACTGAGGACGGTGACTGCAGCCACGAAATGAAAAGACGCCTGCTTCTTGCAAGAAAAGCTATGACCAACCTAGACAGCATATTAAAAAGCAGAGACAGTACTTTAGCAACAAAGGTCCACAGAGTCAAAGCTGTGGTTTTTCCAGTGGTCACGTATGGATGTGAGAGTTGGACCATAAAGAAGGCTGAGCGCCAAAGGATTGATGCTGTTGAACTGTGGTGCTGGAGGAGACTTGAGAGGCCCTTGGACATCAAACCAGTCCATCCTTAAGGAAATCAACCCTGAATATTCATTGGAAGGACTGACGCTAAGCTGAAGCTCCAATACTTTGGTCACCTGATGCGAAGAGCCGACTCATTAGGAAAGCCCCTGATGCTGGGAAGGATTGAAGGCAGGTGAAGAAGGGGACGACAGAGGATGAGATAGTTGGATGGCATCACTGACTCAACGGATGTGAATTTGAGCAAACTCTGGGAGATAGTGAAGGACAGGGAAGTCTGGTGTGCTGCAGTCCATGAGTCGTAAAGAGCTGGACACAACTGAGTGACTGAACAACAGAGGAAGGACATGACTAGCTCATTTTCTCCTCCTGGAGGAAAGGAGTGCAGTGATGCTTGTGGTGGAGGGTGAACGGCTGGCCTGAACTCAGTCCTGGACCTGGGGACTCCTGGGACTAGGACCGTCCACCTACCTTCCTGTAACCCTAGGGAGTCATGGGTCAGAATAACCATGGGATGTGAAGTTGCTAGCCAGGGAGCTTGCAGCTGGTGGTCAAATTTACTAATGGTAAATCCCCTGAGACACGTGAGGCTATCAAGGCATCCGTGAGATGGGGCTACACCCCCTTCACCCCTATTACTGCAGCTCTAACCTCCCCACACGGTGGAGGCATCTGGTAGCTGTATCCAGGACCTGCCCTAAGAGCCACAGGAGGCCAGCAAAGCATCCTCTCTCCTGCAGAGAGCCACCTGGGGAACCACTGCAGCTGAGGCCCCGGTAGGTGGGTGTTCAGCTCAGGGAACCCACGCAGAAACCTCAGTTCACTTCAGTCGCTCAGTCGTGTCTGACTCTTTGAGACCCCATGGACTGCAGCACGCCAGGCTTCCCTGTCCATCACCAACTCCCGGAGCTTGCTCAAACTCACGTCCGTTGACATGAAGCCTCCCAGCAGGAAACAGGGCAAAGCACTGAGGACATCATCCAAAATAGTCACTTCTTTTCCTAAAAGAGGTTCTTAAAATTCCTCTCCTTTTTTTAGGTTATCAAGGTAATGCAAACTGTTTCTCACACAGGTCTCACACAAAGCTGTGCTGAGATAAAAGTGTTCAAGCTACAGCACACAGACTTGAAGATGTCAGATTAGCTCTCTGCAGAAGGAAAAAGTAAGACTGTCGGGGTGTTCCAATGGCTTGAGAGGGAATTAGGACACCTCTCAGATCCCTGGGTCAGCAAGATCCCCTGGAGGAGAAAAATGGCACCCCACTCCAGTATTCTTGCCTGGAGAATCCCATAGACCATGGGGTCACACAGAATCAGACATGACTGGGTTAGTAACACACAGATACTTTCTGAACTAAGGCTCTCCAGTAATCAAGAAACATACGGGTGGAGGCAGGGAGGGATAAAGAAGAAGCTGGAATTAACACAGACACACTACTGCATGCAAAAAAGGTAAGCAATAAGGACCTACTGTAAAGCCCAGGGAACTATACCCAACATCTTATAATAACTTGTAATGAAAAAGCATTTGAAAAAGCATACACGCACACACGCACACCCCCCTATATCGAACTGAGTCACGGTGCCACACATTTGAAACTAACTCGACACTGTAAATCAACGGCGCTTCAATTAAAAGAAAAAAAGGAGGAAAATCAAGAGTAGTTACTTATAATCACTGCAACAGCATCTATAATTGAGAAATGCCTTTGAGGGGCTGTGTTACCTTTGGATGAACGCGTAGCAAAACTGCAACACGGGGACATCCACCAGGGGCGATTTCTGAAAATTAAAGCACAGCTAATTACTCCAAGTTGGGAGGAAATAAGGCTAAAACAAGAATTCAAATACAGAAATGAAACAGGTTCTATCTGCTAACAAAGCAAAGGTTTCCAGCTCCAGGAGTCTTCTGAATGTAATAATACAAAGGATCTCAGTGAAATAAAAGCAAAGGTATCCTGTGACGGCCCACATCCTTAGGTCCCTGCGCATCAGACTCCCGGTCCTTTCCCACGTTTACCTACTTTCCACCCCAGACTTTTAGCAAGTATTTAAGGAAGAGTTGGCATAACGATTGAACCTCCTCAGACACAAAGCTGGTGGCCTCAGGAGCCTGTGTCAAGCTACAGACAATGCCAAATGCGAATTCTTAGCTCCAGGAATTTCCCCCAAACAGCTCGGACAACTTCCCTACGTCCCAAATGGCTGGAATTACTTGGAAATAGGTTTTCAAAACACATTATTCCCCCCCCCCTTTTATTTGTTGAAGTTATAGAAGTTGAGCCAATTAACTAAACTAACCACAAAAGTAACTATGTTATCCGAAAGGCCAAAAACCAATCATCCAGATGACATCTAGGGTTTTTGGGGTTTTTATTTTTAAGCCCAGGTTTTGCAGATGCTTATAGATCAAGTACTGAAGGAATAAAGCGGGAAAGCGCCTGCACTGTGCACGGAGCTGTCTGTCGGAGGGCCAGCTTCCCCGTGGCTGTAGCTTGGACATCATTTGGAGGGACTAAACAGCCACGGGGAAGGCCGGTCTCCAGCCAACTCGACCTTCCCGGAGTTATAAATGCCAACCCAAGGTCTGTCACGTGAACATTCACGTTCAAGAGTAAAAGGCGGGACTTCCTGCCAGCCATGCAGTGGTTAGGAGCCCGCCTTCTAATGCAGGGGACGCGGGTTCCATCCCTGCTCAGGGAACCAAGATCCCACATGCTGCAGGGTGACTACGCCTCAATGCCGCTCCTAACACGCCTGTGAGCTGCAGCAAAAGATCCCAAGTGCCGCAACTAAGACTCGATGCCCACAGTAAATAAACAAATAAATATATTTTTTAAAAGGGGTAAAAGGCAACCAGTGTTGTGTGTGCCAAGTCACTTTAGCTGTGTCCAACTCTTTGCGACCCCGTGGACTGTAACCGCCTGGTTCTTCTGTCCACAGGGATTCTCCAGGCAAGAATACTGGAGGGGGTTGCCGTGCCCTCCTCCAGGGGAATCTTCCCAACCCAGGGATTGAACCTGGGTCTCCTGTCTCCTGCAGGCTCTTTACCACTAGCACCACCTGGGAAGCCCCAAGGCAACAAGAGTTCTAGGCCATGGAGAGACCTGGGGGCAGATGTCATGAAGCCACTTGTGACCATTTTTACATCTGATTCCTTAAGCTGGTTCCATGATCTGGCCTCATGGGGTTAAGTTGTAGGCTGCCTCATCTTCTTTCCCCAACTAGAATACAGGCTGACCGTGGGCGGGGGCAGTGTCACTCTTCAGGATTCCCCACTGTGGACGCATGTACTTGATGTTCAAAGAACACGTGGAATGAAGGAAGGTGAGCAGGACCGCAAGTGTAACTGACTGGTTAGAGGCCCCGGAGGCCTTCCTCCTAGCGCGGATATGTCTGCAGAGAGCGACCCTGAGCCACGGGCCCTTTCAGAGGAGGTGCCCCCAGTGAAGGGGTCTCCTGCAAGGCAGGTGGAGCTGTAAAAACTGCTAAAGGTATTCCTGGTCAGTTTTCTCCCTCTGTGGGGAAAATGCATGAACGCATATCCGACTTCAAGGTTTAGCTTCCGTTCACCACCCTTCATGCTACGACCTAAATATCTAATAGCAAGATTTATTTTATTTGTTATAAAATTTTGGTAAAATATATTTGAAAAAATTTACTACTCAAAACATTTTTATGGGTACAGGACAAGGGCATTCAGGATATTCACAGCTACTGCTGGGCAACTACGATCACCATTCATCAGCACAATTTCACCTTCGCAGAGTGAAACTCAGTTCCTGTTAAACACCTACGTCCACTCCCACCTCCCCCAGGTTCTAGGAACCACCACTCTCTTTTCTGTCTCTGTGGCCTGGACCACTCCTGGGTACCCCAGATAAGTGGAATCATGCAATATTGTCCTTTTGGACTGACTTATTCCCCTTAGCATAATGCTATTAAGGTTCATCCATGGTACAGCATGTGTCAGAATTTCCTCCCTTTTCAAGGCTGAGTCATAATCCACTGCATGCATATATACCTCACTGTGTTTATCCATTCATCTGCTGAAGGGTTATTTCTACTTTTTGGCTCTGGTATACAAATATCATTTTGAGTTAAAAACTATTTTTTAGTGAACGCTTGGTCCACTCAATTTTCATTTAGGGAATTATTCTTAAGAGTGTTTCTAACTCTATCATCTTAAATTACCTGAGAGTGGACAATTATTTCAAGGTCAGAACAAATCCCTGGTTTCTATCAAATTAATTCAGAACAAAATAGCTCCAACACTTTCAATGAAGAGGTCTGCTCTGGTGAAATCAAAGACCTCTCAGGTATAAAACCATAGACACTGTTCTATTGCAATGCACTGTGAAGTGAAGTCGCTCAGTCGTGTCTGACTCTTTGCGACCCTGGGGACTGTAGCCTACCAGACTCCTCCATCCATGNCAGCAGATCTTCCTGACCCAGGGATTGAATGTGAGTCTCCCACATTATAGGCAGACGCTTTACCATCTGAACCACCAGGGAACTAAAAAAAAACCACTGTGCGTAAATGAAAAGGTGCCTGAGCAGTAGAAAGGCTCCCTCAACTGCTATGCAGAAACTGGGCAGAAAAACTATAGGAGCTTTGTGGTTTAATCATGTCACCCTTCAAAGACCACTGATCTCCCTGTAGCCAGATGAAAGCTCTGCTTTCTCAGAATGTCCAGTATGAGTTAAGTCTTCTCACGTGTACTTTGTACTTTAGTAAAAATTAAGCAAACTTTTAACTTGTCCATGGACAAAGATGCTCTCCTTGACCTAGTCTAGTCAGGCCCCTCTGCTCTTTGGATTTTTTAAATATTTACTTATTTATTGGGCTGCTCCAGGTCCTAGTTCTGGCATGCGGAAGCTTGAGTTGCATCCTAGAGGATCTAGCTCCCTGTTACTACTATTGTTCAGTGAGTCATGTCTGACTCGGCAACCCCCAGGACTGCAGCACGCCAACCTTCCCTGGCCTTCACTATCCCCTGGAGCTTTCTCAAACTCATGCTGAAAGCAGTTCCCTGACTAGGGATTAAACCTGGGCACCCTGCATTGGCCAGCGTGGAGACTTAGAGCTACTGGACCACCGGAGAAGTCTCTGGGTTTGTTTTTATTTTTCTGGCCGCACAGCATGGCTTGTGAGACCTTAGTTCCCCGACCAGGCACTGACCCAGGACCCTGAGCAGTGAAAGTGGAGAGTCCTCACCACTGGACTGCCAGGGAAGTCCTGAGCCAGGCTCCTCTGAGCCCTTGTCGTGACCAAGCCTCAACCTCGGTCTACAAGGTTTTACCTTCGGCACAAACGATTCTGTCCACCCCACACACTAGGAGGCTTGAGCAAACACGACTACAGTTCCCAGCAGCTCAAGGCTGTGTCCTAGGGAGATGACCTCGACCCCCTTAAAATGAGAAAGAAAGCTCATGGCCTCGGAAGGAATCTGCTGTGTGTTCAGCCAAGTCCTGATGGGTTCCTGACCTCCCCTCCTTTGAGCATTTATTAGGAAAAGCTTATGGTTACAAATCCTTCCTCTGTCCCTCTGAGATGTGTATGCATCTCCTCCCAACCCGGGAATGTCTTTCCCAAGGACCTGGCAGCCATCCCTTTAAAATATCATCAAGAAAGACAGGGCCCCTGTCTCCCAGTCCCCTGGGGAGCATAGGAATCTACCTTTCACATCACAGTCAGTAACTATGGTCTAATTACATCCACTAAGCCCCTTTCCACTTGTTTGTAACTTTCCACTCCCCTGACTCTGCTGAAGCCCTGCTCCTTCACCCTTCCTATTCATCCTCCCCATAAAATACCCGCTCACCTCTGCACAAACTGGAACTGAGCACGCCTCTCCCTGCTACTGCTGTAGCTACTGAATGAAGTCGGTCTTTCTCACCTTTAACTAATATCCAGCTTTGCTTATCTTTGATGCTTTTTAGGCTGCCAGTTCCTGGAAGCCAAGTGCCATTTCTTCTTTCTAGCTTTATTCGATTTGGCGCGCAGTGGGCCCTTGATAAGAACCACTACCAGGGATTTCACTAGTGGTCCAATAGTTGAGAATGCAAGAGACGTAGGTTCGATCCCTGGTCTGGGGAACTAAGACCCCACCTGCCTCGGAGCAACTAAGCCTGTGCGCCGCAACTGCTGAGCCCAAGTGCCACAACTAGAGGGCCTATGTGTCCGCAACAAAAGATCCTGCAAGACGCAGTTAAGACCTGGGGCAGTCAAATACACAAACTACGCTGCAGAGAACAGAGCCACTACGGGCAGAGTGCTCTGGGGTGGGCTGGAAGGGTGGAAGCCGGTCCCCAATCTCAGGTGGTTCACACCTCAAGACGGGAGTCCATGGAGCACGTCTCGTGCATTTCCACAAAGCCCGGCAGGAACACCTCCGTTTTATGGCTCCTTGAATCCCCAGGTGCTCCTGTCTCCTTTGTTTCCTTCCCAGACGCCATCTACAAGATGTGGACTGGAGGAGTCCTGTGTTCATCCGAGGGCCCCCCGGGCTCCTGACCTCATCCCCGCGGACCTGCGGCGGGTGCTTCACCACCTCCTTCACCAGGTGCAGCACGGAGTCTGTCTGCAGGGTGCTCAGCGCACAGATCAGATCCACGAGGGTCAGCTGGGATGTGCTGGCCGCCGGAATGATCTGCCGAGAAGAGGACCGTTCCTTGAGTGAGACAACAAAAATGAGGACTCCCAGAAAGCACTCTGTGATACTCGCTCCCGGAGGAAGAGATGTGTTTTAATCTTTCAAACGAATATTTAAAGGAATACTAGGTAAAGGACTGTATTGGTAGGAAGAAGAGTGAGGTTAAAAAGAAAAGCTTTTAATCACAGGAATGTAATCAGTATCTGATACAGATGAGGAATAAAAGGCACGGCCGGTGATGGGCAATTGCTCTGGTCTTTATGTGTTCAAGCTGAGAAAGCGTGTTGGGAACAGATAGTATTAACTTGAAGGAAACAGGCTGATTACCAAGAGCCAGCCCCCAAAGCACGAGGAGAGTAAGCGGAACAGGAAAACTAGGTTCATGGGAGCTGGCCACGGAAGGGAAGTCCCGGCATGGGAGGTGTGTTTCGGTGATTGCAGTGGAGTTGGGGGCCTGCCCTTGGAAGCGTGAGGGTCCTCGCTGGGGAAGACCCCACAGGTGCTAAACTGGGTGGCCTGGCCCAGCAGCCTCTCACGCCTCTTTGGGTAATGGGGTCCACGCTGGGCACTGAGCCAGTGCCCAGGGGTGGGGCAGATGCTCTGATGGAGGCAGCGGGTAGGAACCTACACGGACAACGGGGGGAACTGAGTGTGAAGCCCGTGCTGGGTTTGCGGAAACAGGAGACCCAAGCTCCTGGCAGGACTTGTGATGGAGCCGTCCGTGGAGAACGCTTATGCAAAATGTAAACTGAAGTCTGGGCAGAGGAATGCGATGATTTCTTTACCATCACAAACGAGTATTATTCTTACAAATTAAAAAAGCCAAATGTCAACTGTGACTGTCAGTGGAGGTCAGCGACTGTGACAAGCATAGCCCTCTGGGGAGAGAGGCGGGGAATGCTGACGGGGGTGGGGAAATCCATGTGTGGGGACAGGGAACTAGGGAAAATCTCTATACCCTCCTCTCACTCTGCTGCGAACTTAAAACTGCCCTAGAAAAAGAAGGTCTCTAAAAAAAATTGGTTTAAAAAAAAAACCCAGAAAGCTTTTAGCAGGCTCTATAACCAGGGAGGGGCCCCCAGCGGTCCTCACGGGTAGGACGAGGAACCATTTCTTAAGCTGGGTGGCAGGTCCCCTGGTGGTGTTTTCCTTTGAAATGTACATGCTATAGACATTCTTGGAAGCAACTGCTAGACAGTAGATTAAAAAGAAAAGTACAATATACTCATCATAAGGTAGAAAGAGAAGAAAACAGAGGCTGGGTGGGCTCCACTCCCTCCCCCCACCTCGCTGCAACAGGCACAGCTAAGATGACGTCGCAAGTTTAACACAGGGGCCTGCCTCCCCTGGCGGCCTCTGGGGTCACCTCTGATCACAGGGGGCTGTCTGCGCAGCTTCCGTTTCCGGCTTTACCTTCGTTTTACTGTGGCGTTTCCCCTTCTTCCTGCTCCACACGGCTGCAACAGCTGCCATCAGCTGAACTCCAAGAGGTGCTGTCAACGGGTTCAAGAAGTCTAAAATTTTTTGTCGTATGGTCTTAAAAAAAAAACAACAACAGAAAACAGAAAAACGATGAGTGAGAGCAGGGTCAGGGCTCCCGTGGACCGCGCCCTTCACCACGAGCACCTGTGACCTTAGGAGCCTTTGTCATAGTGTCGCAGGCACTATGCTGGGGTCTGGGGGCGGCAGGGGCGGCGTTGGGGGGATGGTGTTGGTGCAGAGCACCTCCTGGAGAAGTTGGACAGGACACGTGGTGGGCCGTCCAGGTGCACAAAAGGCGGAGGGGAGACTCCTGGGAAGTGATGGATACCACCTTCGAGCACACAGGAGCGGGGCAGGGCTCGGAGCAAGTCACCTGAGGTTTTGCAGACCCAGCGAGAAAGTGGGGACCCTGCAGGGAAGCCCCCAGCCACACTGGCTTCAACCAGTTCAGGGATGGCTTGTAAGCACCAGGAAGGATGTGCTTCAGTTTCCAGAAATATGTGCTATTTACCTAATTTTATTATGCAGCCAACTAAAAACAGACCCATGACACGGCCCAGGGACGTCACTCGCCACCCTCCCCTTTGCTGTGCCTGGATTTCTCTGCATTCCCGAAACCTCCGTGTTCCTTCCTTTGTGGATGCAGAGGGTCTCCTGACCTCTAACACACCCCTGGGAAGGCACACTCGCTCATCCTGGGTCTTGGCTCAGCTCCTCTGCTTCAGGAAGGCCTTCTTGGCCCTCGGAGCAGGGGTCGCAGGCTGGTAGAGTGCCCTGCGTCTCTTTGCAGCGCTTCTCATCACTTTTTAAAGCGGATGGTTAATGTCTGTGCCTGCCAGGAAGACAAGGACTTCCCTCCTCTATCTTATCCGCTCGTGGACAGGCAGGGCCAGGTACACAGCAGCAGGCTCACATGTGCCTGTGGAATGAATGGATTTACCTTGGGCTTCCCCTGCTCCTTGCAAGAAAAGCTATGGCCAACCTAGACAGCATATTAAAAAGCTGAGACATTACTTTGCCAGCAAAGTTCCGTCTGGTTAAGGCTATGGTTTTTCCAGTAGTCATGTGTGGATGTGAGAGTTGGACAATAAAGAAAGCTGAGCACCGAAGAATTGATGCTTTTGAACTGTGGTGTTGGAAAAGACTCTTGAGGGTCCCTTGGACTGCAAGGAGATCCAAACAGTCCAACCTAAAGGAAATCAGTCCTGAATATTCATGAGAAGAATTGAAGCTGAAGCTCCAATACTTTGGCCACCTGATGAGAAGAGCTGACTCATTGGAAAAGACCCTGATGCTGGGCAAGATTGAGGGCAGGAGGAGAAGGGGACAACAGAGGATGAGATGGTTGGATGGCATCACCGACTCAATGGACATGAGTTTGAGCAAACTCCTGGAGTTGGCGATGGACAGGGAGGCCTGGTGTGCTGCAGTCCATGGAGTTGCAGAGTCGGACCCGACTGAGCGACTGAACTGAACATCCCTGTCGCCTCTGCCTTTGCCTAGCATTACTTTAGATACAACTGAGCCGGGGATGGGGATGTCCTCTTCCTCCTATCGTGGTTTCTGCTTGAGAGAGACCATGAAGGCCCCAGCTCAGGGCCTTGGGGCCTTCAGGGAGGGCTTGGGTTAAGTGCTCAGTAAATGTTGTGTTGTTCAGTTATGTCCAACTCTTCGCGATCCCATGGACTGTAGCCCGCCAGGCTCCTCTGTCTATGGAATTCTCCAGGCAAGAAGACTGGAGTGGGTTGTCATTCCCTTTGCCAGGGGATCTTCCCAACTCAGGGATTGAACCCATGTCTCCTGTACTGAGCCACCTGGGAAGCCCCTGGAAACCCCCAATAAATGTTAGCCAGCATCACAACGAACTCTTCCATCAGTCCAGGAGGTAGGCTACTAGTGACAGGCTCATTTCACAGAGGAGGAAACCGAGGCTCAGGCTGAGCGAACCTTCTGGACCTTTTAAGAGATTAATTTTTAGGCTGAATTTAAGCAGGTTCCTATGGCAGATTCCCTTGGAGGTCATCCCTGGAACCGACAGAAAATTTTTGGAGGCTACTTGTGCCTCCCGGAACCTAAAAGCCCGCTGATCTGGGAGTCAGACTGCCTGGCTGACCACAGAAAAGAATCACATGCTCTCTCTACACCCGTCACCTGTCACCTGGGAATATAATAGCACCTGCCTTGCAGGTGAGGACTGAATACGCCAGTAAATAGAGAGTGCTCAGATGACGCCCAGCATCCTGTTTCCGGCGGAGGAAACAGCACACAGTGGTTTAATGACATGCTCAAGGTCCCACAGAGCAGCTGAGCAGGGAGCCAAATCCAGGCGACCTGGGTCCCTGGGCCCTGACTGTTCTGCTCAACCCAGGCTGCCAGAAGCCAGCGGTAAGCCCTGAGGGCACACGCCAGCCGTGCTCAGCGGACGGGAGACACGGCCGGACAACTGGGAGCCATGGGACATGGCGATCATAGACTGAGTTACGTGCCTGGGTGCCTCCCAGGGAGAGTCAAGGGTTTAACGTGGTGCGGGACCCTCTGGGGACTTCCTGGGACAGATCCCTCCCCGCTTGTCGTCTGCTGGCCTCTTGTTTGTGGAAAAGCTTTCGCCTCCCAGGCCTCCCCTGAGTCATCAATGCCTGGCTCAAGAATTGATGACTGCGGGGCTTTCCTGGTGGCTCAGCGGTCAAGCATCCAATGCAGGAGACAAGGTTCCAAGCCGTGATCCGGGAAGATCCCACATGCAACTCACTCAAGCAACTCACTCACTCCTTCTGCCACAACTACTGAGCCTGTGCTCCAGATTCCGGGAGCTGCAGCGACTGGAGCCTGCAAGCCAGAGAGTCCGTAGTCATGACAAGAAAAGCCATCGCAATAGGAGGCCCACATACCGCGATGAAGCGTAGACACTGCTCCCCGCAACTAGAGAAAGCGCTTGCTGCAATGCACACCCAGCACAGCCAAAGATAATTTCTCTAAATAGCCAAAGAGGAAAAAATAAACTGAAAAGTACTCACAAAAGCCTTCTTCCCATGAATATAAGGCTTACTCTAATAAACAAACTGGAGATTCCTGTTTCCGGTTTACTTATAACAGGACTTCTAACGTGGGTTTCTCTGGGCACATGGTCTTTGATTAAGTATGTATACACCCCTGCGTATTTTTATTTCTGGCGGGACAATGCAAGACAAAGGAAATCGTAAGCCCACAGAGGAAGCTCTCTCACTTTGGTGGTTTTAAAGTAAACGGAAGAGGATCCCTTCGTGGCTCCGAGGAGATCGACGGGTCTCTTCTGAGCCTCCTCCTTCCTGAGGACATTCCAGAGAAGGGCCATGGTGTTAACGATTCGAGGGAGCTCTTCCAGAATAGCATTCTTGGCATTCTTCAGATTGGTAGGGTCGGTCACAGCAGAGGTCTGAAAAACAGAGATGAACACATGTGAGACCCAGAAGCATTTCCCTTTCCACGAGGAACCTGGGGTTGGTGGATGGAGTCTGGGCTGGAGCACTGCCCAGGGCAAGGCCCACGGGTGGTCTAGAAATAAGATGCCTCCCTGAGCATTTAAACCCATGACTTCCCTTCAGAGAGGGATGTGTGTGAGTCTGAGGCTCATTACAAACTTTGCCAGTCCCTCAACCAAAGTACAAGCTCTGTTCTAAAATTTAATCCCAGATAGGGTAGAGTGTGCTTCCCTGGGGGCTCAGGTGGTAAAGAATCCGCCTGCATTGTAGGAGACCCGGGTTTGATCCCTGGGTTGGGACAATCCCCTGGAGAAGGAAACGGCTACCCACTCTAGTATTCTGGCCTGGAAAATTCCATGGACAGAGGAGCCTGGTGGGCTACAGTCCTTAGGTTCCATGGACCCCAAGAGTCGGACATGACTGAGTGACTTTCACTTTCTAGGGTAGAGTAATCAAGACATAAAATGCCTTTAAACTCCATAAAGTCAAGTAAAAAAAATATATGGAAAAAAGATCACATTCTGTGCCACACTGGGCAAGGGCTGAAGTTGCCCACAGAGTGACCAGTGAGAACAAAACCACATGTGTGTTACTTACATACATACATTTGCACATATACTTGAACACACTCTTGCATTATTTGCATATCTGTTATTTGGCATTAATATTGGCATACATGTCTGCATTACATACATACATACATTTCTTATTTGAAAACAGACAAAATCCCAAAGAAGACAAAACAATATATGAAAACTGCCTCGAACTTGGGAAAAAAAGCAATTTACCTTTTTGCTTTGGTTGGGTTGTTCCAAAAGACAGAAATGACTAATGGTTGTTAGGCCTTCCAACAGAGTGAGTGGATAATCCGGGGAGATGTTTTCCCTCTTGGAGGTTATGCTTTGGTAAAGAAACAAGAAACCAGTTTTGAGAATCTTTAAGAATGAAGCCAGAAAAGTTTTTAATCCTAAACAGAGAAACCACAGAGAAATCACCATCTTAAAACAAACTGGGGCTCTCATAATGAAACACCGCTGCAAAAATGACAGGCCTCTTTCAAGCTGTTTTACATTTATCTGGTCGCTTTGGAAAAATGTTTCCAGATGTTTTAGGATTTCTGTGCAGAGGATTCACACTTTTATTTCTGTTTTGCAAAAATAATGGAGACAGATTGACTTGTCCTACAACCCAGATCTGGCCTGGGTAGTCATATTGAATTAAAATTAAAGGAATCCACCTTCAGTTCCTTGTTATCCTCTCCTGACAATGCTACCTAGGTTTCTGATTAGGTTGAAATGACCCCCCAGCTGATGGCGAGGGCCAATCAGCCAGACATTGATGACAAAAGCTGTAATTAAAGCAGTAACAATGCCTCTTTCCAGGTGGCGCTAGTGGTAAAGAACCTGCCTGCCAACTCAGGAGACGCAGGAGATGCTGGTTCTATCCCTGGGTCGGGAAGATCTCCTGGAGGAGGAAATGGCAACCCACTCCAGAATCTCTGCCTGGAGGATCCCATGGACAGAGGAGCCTGGTGGGCTACAGTCCATGGGGTCGCAGAGAGTCAGACACGACTGAAGGGACTCAGCACACAAGTACCAGTTGCCTCACGGCTCACTGTACCTGATGGACAGCTTCACCGACTCGCTCTCATACTGCTTGACCAGCTCGTCCAAGTTTTTGCAGATCTGGACAAGGAAGGGTGTAACCGTCCAGCCCAGGGACCTTCCGAAGTACGGCAGGGAATGCGTGACCAGGCTGACCCAGGCCGGGTGCATGCCGTAGCCGTAGGCCGGCTGCAGGCCCCTGACCACGGCGGCCACCAGCAGCCCCTGCGAGGTGAGCGGGTGGGGCCGCACGTACTGCAGGGCGCTGATGGCCTGCTGGAAGCTCAGGGCCCGCCGCCACTCCCGGGGGAGGTCGGGCGGCTGCTCTGCCTCCTCGGGCGCCTGGCCCAGGTGGTGCTCCAGCACGATGAGCACCTGCAGCAGCTTCAGCAGCTCGATCTGCAGCGGGTGCTCGCTCCAGACCTGGCCCCGGCCCAGGTTGATGACGTGCTCCTCCAGCACGCCCTCCTCCGGCAGGGCTCCGCCCGGCGCACCCGTGGCCAGCCCGTAGCGCTTCTGGCTCGTGTACATGGAGGCGGACAGCGAGAGCAGGACGAACTCCTGGACCCGGCATCTCTGCAGCAGGCCCTGGATGAACTCCACGTTCCTGCCCTCGGCCGCCTTGGCCACCGACACCAGCTGCGTCATCAGCCTGATCAGCACCTCCACGCTCTTGACCTGCACGTCCCGGTTGCCCAGGACGTCCCGGTGCGAGACCCTCATGGAGCAAGGGTAGTAGCTTCGGAGGAAACTGAGGCACAGGTAGGTGAGGAGCTCTATGAGCAGCGAGTGCGGGCACGCGCTGGAGGGCGGGCTCGGGAGCTTGCCGTAGAAGCTCTGGCCCCCCAGCGCCTCCTGGTGGCGGGCCAGGAGGTTGGAGATGAGGTTGAGGTGCGCCGTGGCGCTGGTGTCCACGCTGGTCCTGGACACGGCCTCGACGAACTCGCGCGGGTTGGTTTTGAGCACGGCCTCCAGCACCGAGAAGGCGTAGAGCACCCGCCGCGCGTCGTAGGGCTGCAGGTAGAGCAGGATGTGCGCGAACAGGGCCTCCAGCCTCGCCTGCCTCTCGCGCTGCTGCTTCCGCAGCCGGGCCGCCGTCAGCGCCTGGAGCTCCGCGGCAGCCTCGTCATCGCTGGACTGCAGCGACTCCGAGGCCTGGGTCCGGTCTGAGTCCGAGCGCACCAGGCACGTGGGGCTGCCCGCCTGCGGGCCGGGGGCCCGGGAGGCTGCGGCCAGGGGCGCGCAGCACTGCTCGCCGCCGCTCAGCTCCTGGGGGTCGTGCGCCGGCGAGGAGACGGAGGACGTGTTCTCGCTGCTGTCCGTGGCGCCGGAGGTCGTGTCCGCCGACTCGGTGCGCTCGCTGCCGTCCTCGGCCGCAGTGCGGGCCAGCCCGTCGGGCAGGTCCTCGAGGCGCGGGGGGCGGTCGTGCTCGTGGGGCTCGCCGCTCGCTGGGCGCGCCTCGGGCTCCGTCTCCACCTCGGCCCAGATGGCCTCGCGGTCCACCGTGGTGAGCTGGCTCAGGAGCGCGCCGTCTTCACAGCCGCCCTCCGGCAGCTCGGGTGCGTCCCAGGCCTCCGCGAACGAGGCTTGCTTTCTGTTGAGCCAGCGGTGCCAGTCTTCTGCAAGGGACAGAACGACAGACAGCTTGAGCACAGAAGGGTTAGTTATGACAGGCAGTTCCACGGTGATCCTGGTCTTAAAGGGAGGCAGGAAGATCAATTTTAGTAAAACGCTCCATGGGGGTGGGGAAAGGCCAAGACAAATTCTTGGCAATATCGTGGATGGGTTGGGATGATCCCCTGGAGGAGAAAATGGCAACCCACTCCGGTGTTCTTGCCTGCAGAATTTCATGGCCGGTTGAGTGGCTTTCACTTTCACATAGGGAATATAACCAATATGACATAGTAACTATAAATTGAGTATGCTTAGAGGCTCGGTCCTGTCTGACTCTCTGTGACCCCATGAACTGTGGCCCACCAGGATCCTCTGTCCTTGAAATTCTCCAGGCAAGAATACTGGAGTGGGCTGCCATTTCCTTCTCCAGGGGATCTTCCCCTCCCAGGGATCCAACCTGGGTCTCCCACGTTGGAGGTAGATTCTTCACCAACTGAGCCCCCAGGGAAGCCCATAAATGGAATGTAACCTTTAAAAATCATGGATCACTATGCTATCCACATGAAACTTGTGTAGCACTGTAAATCAACAATACTGCAATAAAAAATAAAGCATAAAAAAACAACAAAACACAGCTCCTGTATGAAACGACAACACTGGAGTCTAGGTTACATTACAGATGGAAGTCAGACAAGCAAAGTGAACAGGTCTTTTAAAATGTTCAAGAAGCTGGATAATTTAGTTATATTATCATAGAAAATATAAATATACCAAGTTTAGGGGAAGGGTGATCTATAAAAATGCCTATTGTTTTCTCCCAGGACCTTCCTTTCAAAAAAAGGTACCCTAAAGAAACGTCAATAGAAGGTTTTTCAAAATTGAAAGGGTATTGCTGAGATGTGCTGTATAAAAACAAAGCATCCACAAAGTAAGAAGACTGAAACCTCATGGTGCAGGCATGCAGAAGGCTACTGCTGGGTTTTCTAAAGACACATCTACATGCACTGATATGGGGCAATGTCCAGATTATATTAAGTATTAAAAGAAAACAGCAAGCTGCAGAATCTTGCTGTTCAAAAAAGTCCACTTTTTACAGATACTCCAATGCTTTAAAGTGCTCAGGGCTCTTAAAAAGGAGTGAAAAGCCAGATGTCTTCCGCACTGCCAAACATTTTTAATAGGCAGCTTTCAACAAATCTATTCCATGAACATTGAGCCAGGTTAGGAAAGAAGGAAGGATAAGATATTAGAAATATGAGCTTCCAGTTGTTCACAACAGTATTTAAAAATGAGATTTCCAAAGGACTACTGCAGTAGCAAGGAGGGGAAGTAGAACCCTTCAGGTGGTTCCCAGGGAGCGAACAGGGCAGAGAAGACACATTTTTTTTCTTAACAGGCAGGCAGCATTAGACAGGAATTAGAAGACGCAGCAGGAAGTGCCCCGAGACCTTTAACACCCGACGAGCTCTAGTTTCTTGTTAAAGCAAAGAAATGCTTCAAAATTGAGCTGCCATAAATGAAGACCAAACTTTTATAGTTTACAGTTCTTTGTATTTTACTTTCTTGTAAATGTGGAGTAATAAAATGCCTCCTAGTTTTCAGGCAAGGAACCTTGCAAAGAGAGGAAGCCACCTGGGAATCTTTGCTTATTTAGGTGTTGGGCTGCGTTCCTCTGTTAAGATGAGACTGACGAACACTGAGTATTTACAACCCACTAAGCTAAACAAACTAGTTAAAGTCTGTAAAGCCATTGCTTAGAGGACTAACTGCAGGAAATCATAAAATACACCTATTGTGCAAAGTGATGTTAGACCATAAACTGTACTAAGTATTAATCACTGAAATTCAATGAAATCATCGGTTTCATTTCAGTCTTTCTTTTCTTTTTCTATCTCTATTCTTTAAAATTTAGTTAAAGATGCCTCTGAAAATTCTCAGAGCCCAGAGGTCTGTTTCTTCTTCTCTGATTTCAGGTTAAAGCTGGAAAGAACCTTGTAGAGCAGATAGAAACCACTTACCTTGTTGACGGTTCTTGAGCAGAAGTGATTTTTATATAGCAAGACTGATTAGCTTACATGCAGGTTTCGACACGCTCGATCATTCATACCTGGGAAAAACCTCTGCTCTCCCGTCCCAGGTCTGAGAAGAGCTAGTCTGCCCAGCCCAAAATGACCTTCACACCAGACCTCAGACTTCCTTCCTAAGTGAAGAGGTGGCCTTGGGGACCTTCAGATGGATGGTCTGTTTTTCTCTCCTACTACCTTGGATGCACCTGAATTGTTTTCTCCAGCAAAAGAACCAAGAATCAGCTATATTTATTGGAACATGGGTTGCTAGTATTTTCCTTTTTAATATAAAAAAGGATATCATATATTTTTCAGTGAAAACAACAAACCTACTACTGCATTTCGAAGTGCTGGTTCATCTGATCCGGAAATTTTAGGAGGCCCCACAAAGTACCTCCCCCAGCTTTCGAATCTGGCGAAACCATCCTGTCAGTCTGAGTGCCTTGACTGCGGCCCCAGGGCGGCAGGGAGGTCCTGGCTGCCCCTTCCCTCCCCCTGGGCCCAGGGTCCCCGGGCTCCCGCGCGGTGTACTCACCCGCCGAGTTCTCCCGCGTGAGGCAGTGGATGGCGGTCCGCTGGGTCTTTGGCTGCAGCAGGAGCAGGAGCACGGGCTCCAGGATGCGGGCCGCGTCACCCAGGGAGAGTGCCCGCACCAGCCAGCCCTGGGCGGCGGCCCCGATGGCCCCGTCCGAGCTGCCCAGGCTGTCCAGCACCATGAACAGGGACCTGCCGTGGGTCGGGGGGGTTGTGGATGCGCACCGTCAGGGTGCTCAGGACACCCTCGGGGAGCTCCACCCAGGGGGCTGGACTTGCATGCCCAGGCAGATGAGGACCACAAGGTCAACCCTGCTTCCAGCTAGGGTCACTGTTGCTGCTTTGTTGTTGAGTTGCTAAGTCAGGGGAGCTTTTAAAAATCCTGATGCCCCGGTCTCCTCACAAATGGGGGGGGCGGTGGGGTGCATTAGGACCAGCTGGCATCTCTCCAAGGCTGCGTGTCTGACCCCACATCTAGGGCTCCAGGAACACGGTAAAAGCGAAAGTGAAGTTGCTCAGTCATGTCTGACTCCTTGTGACCCCACGGACTGTAGCCCACCAGGCTCCTCCGTCCATGGGATTTTCCAGGCAAGAATACTGGAGTGGGTTGCCTTNCACGGACTGTAGCCCACCAGGCTCCTCCGTCCATGGGATTTTCCAGGCAAGAATACTGGAGTGGGTTGCCTTTTCCTTCTCCAGGGGATCTTCCCGACCCAGGGGTCGAACCCAAGTCTCCCGCCTTGCAGGCAGACGCTTAACCCTCTGAGCCACCAGGGAAGCTTACAAGAAACAAGGTAAGGGATTTTTAAAAACCAATGTAGAACAGAGCATGCCTGTAATAAAATGCACGGTTCTGGGCATGGGACTGAGGACATCGCAGCCGCACACACCCAGTGTGGCCGCCACCCCAGTTAAGATTCATGTGCGTGCGTGCGTGCTCTGGTGTGTCCGACTCTTTGCAACCCCGTGGATGGTAGCCCGCCAGGCCCCTCTGTCTATGCGATTTCCCAGACAAGAATACTGGAGTGGGTTGCTTTGTCCTTCTTCAGGGGATCTTCCCGACCCAGGGATCGAACCTGCATCTCCTGCACTGACTGGCAGGTGGATTCTTTACCACCGAGCCACCAGGGAAGCCTGGCCAAGATTTACCCCTCCTCGTCTTCCTACCAAGCCCCCTCGGGGAGCTTGTTCTGCCGGCTCCTCAGGTAACTCTGAGGCACGCGGGGCTTCCTCCTTCCATAATCAAGGCAAGAAACCCCCTACCAGTTATTCACACCTGTCTGGCCTGAATTCACTGAGGGGATCCCAGGAATCCTTGCTCCGCATCAAGAACACAGGGGCTGAGGGGCTTGGTTTCCACTTCATGCATCTCCCCGAGCCCAGCCTGGCATGCTGACCCAGCACCTTCCCAAAGTGTCCTTTTCCTTTAAGAGTAAAGTTATTTAAAAAAAAAAAAGAAGCCCCCATCACCTGTCAAAGGAGCGATTGTGAGACGTCACTCTGCTGCCCTGGATCTCTCTGGTCAGGTGCCAGATGACAGAAAATCGAAACAGAGCTTCCAACCTGGTTCCCTTGAACAGGAGAGAAAACGTGAGTGAGGCGCCTGGTTTCTGTCTTAACAGAACGCGTTCTCGGGGCAGCAAGCCCTGTTTAAATGACAAATGAGAACTCAGCGGAAAGACAGCAGGCAGGGCAGAGGTGCCCAAGTTAAAGGGCCTGGTGTCCGGCGGAGCAGGGAGGAGGAGGACCCCGCTCCTCGCCCTCCTTGCTGTGGACGCGCTCTCGGGGCAGTCCATGCTCCAGACTCCACGACCACTGGAGTCCAGGGCCACAGCCAGGTCTGCGACTGGGGAAGAAAAAGGGCATGGCCTCCTTGTGGCCTCTGGCAGTGTCATCCCCAGCCTCTGTGGCGCCAGTTTCACGGAAGACAACTTTCTTCCATGAACTGGGGTTGGGGGATGGTTTCAGAATGATTCCATGATCACTGACAGTTATCGTGCCCTTCATTTCTCATCTAATACCACCGCTGATATCACAGGAGGTTCCCATCTGCAGCCTGAAGACTGGGGACCCCCGGCTTAGAGGACAGGACCTGACGGCAGTGCAGAGCCAGGGCTCCGGGGGTGACACGGTCTCTGCAGCTGCCTGCTTCACCCAGAGCTCTGGGGGCCCTGCAAGCATCACGGGAGCCTGGGCAGATGTCCCTGGTAAGCTTTAATACGACACACGGGGTGGCTCACGCTTCTGTAGGCCTTCCGGTCCTGAAATTATTGATGTATTGAAATGCTGCTGAGGCAACACACCTGTCCGTTAAACAGGATGTCCACTGCGCCCCAGAAGACTCCTGTCGGACACAGGTGAGTCTGCCTGAGGGCTTCCTTGATAGCTCAGATGGTAAAGGATCTGCCTGCAATGTGGGAGACCCAGGTTCGATCCCTGGGTCGGGAAGATCCCCTGCAGGAGGGCATGGCAACCCACTCCAGTATTCTTGCCCGGGAAATCCTCATGGCCAGGGGAGCCTGGCGGGCTACAGTCTGTAGGGTCGCAAAGAGTTGGACACGACTGAATGACTAACACATGCTGCCACGTGACACCTGGGCGGGGGGCGGGGTGTCAGGACTGGGGTCAGATGGGGGTCGCTGGCTGCAGAGACTCACCTTGTCGGGGTTCAGGAGGGCATGGCAGATGATGTCCTCGCAGATGTTGGCCGTGGGGGCCAGGCAGTGCAGCCGGTAGAACAACTCCACACACGTGACGTGATGCTCCCGGTTCTCCTTGTTCAGCTGATTCCAAAGCACACGAGCTACCCTCTGGATGGAGGGGAGACAGCGTGAACACCGGCAAGTCCTGCCCCTTTCCTCCTTTGGCAGGCCGGTCCGGCCCCCAGCTGCCGGTTCCTGCCTACCTTTGCTATGTGAGCATCCTTAATACACAAAGAACCACCACCGCCAGGCGAAATGAACCACATCACAGGCCCCTCAGGAGCCACCGGGCGAGGGTAACGGCACAGGTGAAATGTGGGGATCGGCCACCTGGGACGCTCTAGCCCAGATCGCCACGTTCAGAGGGGAATCACCTGGCAGCAAGCACCTGTCGATGATGGAGACGTCCCCTCAACTAGCACACACCAAAGCTCCCCAACTGCCAACGCTGGGGTGCCAGGGTCACACCCTCTAGGAAGTTTGGGGGCGATCTGTGGTGGTCGCTGTCCTGGGGTAGACACCCTAGTACCCTACCACTGGTGGTTGGCTCAAACTGGTGTTCAGCTTTAATCCCACAAATTTGCTTGTTCCCATTTCTATGCTCAATGCTGTAGCAGAGGCCTGGCTTATCTTCGGGGCCCAAACTGTATCCCAGGATCAAGTCCTTCATCTCCTCAACTCTGATCTCAGCTCTTTAAACATATGACGTCTGCGAGTGGCTGCAGCCCCTTCCCAAGTTCCCGGGGACACCAGCTGGACCAACCGGGGTGAGACTCAGAAAGAAGGCTGGTCCCACTCCTAGGAGGGGAATTTCTAAAGGCATTTTTTGGGGGGTCATGGAAAAAGATGATGTCTGACAGATTATGATGTTTTAAGACCTTGTAGGTCAAAGAACTTCTTTTGACTCGTTTATTTCTGAGCTTCCCTGGTGGCTCAGGTGGTAAGGAAATCACCTGCAGTGCAGGAGACATGGGTTCGATCCCTGGGTCGGGAAGATGCCCTGGAGAAGGAAATGGTTACCCATGCCGGTGTTCTCACCTGGACAGAGGTGAGACTGTCATCAGCTGCAGATGACAGAGGTGAGACTCTGCCATCCCATGGACAGAGGAGCCTGGACGGCTACAGTGCATGGGGTCGCAGAGAGTCGGACATGACTGAGCCACTAACACATTTCTGTTTGATAAAACTCTTCTGTGCACAGATCAAATTAACCACTGACTGGCCTAAGCCCCTAACCATTATTTATTTTTTACTTAAGGAAATGTGATTTCCAGTTATCAAGTTACACATAAACTTCATACAAAAAACTTCTGTCAACTACAAATTGACACTTGCCAAGAGCATCGCCAGCGGCAGAACAAGGGCATTTGCCACCTGCCTCTCCGGAGACTGAGCTCTGTGCTGCTGCAGCCGCTGACCCTCAGGACTGTGGGGTGGGTGCGGGGACTCTGTGCTCCAGGGAGTCTGGTGGGACAGGTCTTCAGATAGTTAGATATTTTCAAGAGCTGACTTCAGGATCCCCACCTTTGCATCTCTTCATATCTAGAAAGGGCTTTCCCTGATAGCTCAGCTGGTAAAGAATCCACGTGCAATGCAGGAGACCCCGGTTCGATTCCTGGGTTGGGAAGATCCACTAGAGAAGGGATAGGCTACCCACTCCAGTATTCTTGGGCTTCCCTTGGGGCTCAGCTGGTAAAGAATCCACCTGCAATGCGGGAGACCCAGGTTCGATCCCTGGGTTGGGAAGATCCCCTGGAGAAGGGAAAGGCTACCTACTCCAGTATTCTAGCCTAGAGAATTCCATGGACTCTATAGTACATGAGGTCGCAAAGAATTGGACGTGACTTTCACTTTCATATCTAGAAAAGCACTAAATCCCTTCATGGTTACATCAGCTCCTCCTGACTAGCAGAAAATCTCTTGTAAAGTAAGCACTTCATTGCACTAAACTCTTCCTTCACTGAAATCTTATATATTGACCTTCTAGGAAGGACTGATGCTGAAGCTGAAACTCCAATATTTTGGCCACCTGATGCGAAGAACTGACTGCTTGGAAAAGACCTTGATGCTGGGAAAGATTGAAGGTGGGAGGAGAAGGGGGGATGACAGAGGATGATATGGTTGGATAGCATCATCAACTCGATGGACATGAGTTTGAGTAAGCTCCGGGAGTTGGTGATGGGTAGGGAGGCCTGGCGTGCTGCAGTCCATGGGGTCAGAGAGTCGGACATGAGTGAGCAACTGAACTGAACTGAAGGTTTAATATAAATTAAATATTGTTATACCTTTTACAAGTTAGTCAGCAAGGAAAGAACCTCGAGTGAAGAAACTTCTAAAAAAATGTAAATGAGATATGAGCTTTTAGATAAACTTTATTAAGAATAATTATGCTTCAGGAATGTCTAAAACAGTCTCTCCAGATAGGAGTAACTTATATGTCTAGGGTTTGTGCTAAACTAAGTGATGAAAGTTTATTGAATAGCTAAGATGGTTGGATGGCATCACCGATTCAATGGACATGGGTTTGGGTGGACTCTGGGAGTTGGTGATGGGCAGGGAGGCCTGGCGTGCTGCAGTCCATGGGGTCGCAAAGAGTCAGACACGATTGAGTGACTTAACTGAAGTCATTTTCAGATAAAATAAAGTAGTCCCTTTGCCTTCAGTCCCTAGGGCAAACTTATGTGTAAGATGCTCCATCTGGAAGGTTTAAAGTTTTTTTGGAGGGTTTTTGAGACTTGATCACAAAAAACACGCCTGCCCATTCATCATCTTTGCCTTCTCAGTTCCTATGCCCTGGACATTTTCTTAGTGGCTGGCAATCTGCCATTACTACTTAGCAAGGGCAGGGCACTCTTGGGACATCTGACCTTACTCTTGTTGGCACTGTAGGCAGAATGAACGTTGGTATGTAAGCTGTTCCATGGGAATGAGAAAAAGGCTAGAGGATATGGAACCAGCCCAAGGCCTGGAGTCTGAGAACCTGGGGCGCACCCTGGCTATCTGTATAGGTTACTTTACCATCTCTAGTTCCAGTATCTCAATGCAGGTAGGCTTCAGCCCTGCCTCGTTTTTGAGAACCTGGTAACATTAATATATAATGTATGCTCCAGTGCTTGGCAAGCAGTACATGCTCAGGTACATACTAAATCTGAATAAAAATAAAAATCAAGGCTTCAGAAAGAACTCATAAAAGCATACCCAAACAAGAGCAAAGTACTGAGTGCTATCATTTTTATTCTATTAATAGCCTTCCAAGAATTCATGGATGAAATTTTTTCTGCTTTTTTCCTCTCTGTGCCTATGATGGAGCTATGCCAAACTCTGTGATGTATGCAGGACCAGGAAAAAAGATTTGCCCAGTCGCTGTGGTTCCAAGTTTTACAGAGTCAAGATCTATACTGTTACTCAACTTTGGTAGGAAGGAAGACAGGAAGAACGAGGGGCAAAAGCTGAAGAACAACTAAATCCAGGATCTGCCAGGACCCAACATCATAAGTGGGGCTAGAATGAACAAACCATGGACCCTCTCCCAGTGAAAATTATAGAAAAAGAAAACAGCCAGTCATTTAGAGTTGCTGGACATCATCCTAAGGGCATTCAAGAAATGAGGAAAAACTCAAGAGAATCTACGAAAATTCCAGCACAAGAAGCAACAAGTCTATGGCACTTCAACTACGACCTGCCCACCTCTCAATCCAGCTTGACTTGATAGGGGGTGGCCAGGAAGATGGGCCTCCCTTCCTCCCAGCTCCCCAGCTAATAAGGCTTCTGCATCTCCCTGGGAGGAACAGGCCTCCAGTATTTTACTCCTCTGCCCTGGCTCTTGGGTGGAGGCTCTATCCAAGCACAGCAGGCTAAGAACACGAGGGTTTGGATCATTCATGAGGAGAGGAAAAGACGCACACCCAGAAGACCAGAGACTACCACCCCACCAGGAAATCACACCAAGAGAAGCAGACAACTGACCCAGTTATAGCTCTTCCTGCACAACAGGATTCAGAGATTTTGCCCAGGGGGACAGGCAGGCCACAAAACAGAGTTGCACAGCTCTCTGTAAGGGAACAGAGTGTAGGATAAGGTCAAGCCTAGGAGTGCTCTCAGAAATAACAAGAGATTTTAATGGTAAGTAATTAAGAGGAGGCTGTGAGCTCCATGATAGCAACAAGCTACACCACAGGCCAGCTCATTTACCAGAAATAAACAGGGACACATCTTATCTTAATATCTTATTAAAGTCACTCAGTCCTGTCTGACTCTTTGCAACTGCATGGACTATACAGTTCATGGAATTCTCCAGGCCAGAATACTAGAGTGGGCAGCCTTTCCCTTCTCCAGGGGATCTTCCCAACCCAGGGGTTGAACCCAGGTCTCCCGCATTACAGGTAGATTCTTTACCTGCTGAGCCCCAAGGGAAGCCCAAGAACACTGCAGTGGGTATCCTATCCCTTCCACAGTGGGTCTTCCCCACCCAGGAACTGAACCAGGTCTCCTGCATTGCAGACAGATGCTTTACCAACTGAGCTGTCAGGGACACAGAGAGCTACGAAAAATCCTCCTATGTCAAAACAAATCTCTAAGACTGGCTTCAAAATACTACTTGAGACAGGGACCTCCCTGGGGGCCCAGTGGTTAAGAATCTGCCTTCCAATGCAGGGGGTGTGGGTTCATCACTGGGTAGGGAAGTAAGATCCCACATGCCACAGGGCAAGTCAGCCTGCACACTGCAAAGAGAAGCCCACACATCACAACAGAGATCCTGCATGCCACAACTAAGACCCAACACAGCCAAAAAGATAATATAGTTCTATACACACACACAAATAAACGAACATTAAAAGAAAAAACCTACCTGAGTCAAGAGTATAAACTGGATCAGGCTGTGGAGTAATTTGTGCCCTGGGGAATTGCTAAAAATAATAGAGCCATCATCCAGTGATTAGTGGAGCCTAATATCTGGGTGTGATACCAACAGAGTTTAACAGAAATCAGGGAAAGTCAATGAAAATCTTGCTAAAATCACCATCATCTCAAGAGTGGCTGCGCATTCCGAAGGCGGCAGCCTCCAAGGAGCAGCGGCAAATGCCTCACCCTGCAGGGGAAACTAAAAC